GTGGAGTGTTTTGGAGTGGAGTGCTGTTGGAGTGGAGTGTTGCTGGAGTGGAGTGTTGCTGGAGTGGAGTGTTGCTGGAGTAGAGTATTGCTGGAGTGGAGTGTTGCTGGAGTGGAGTGTTGCTGGAGTGGAGTGTTGCTGGAGTGGAGTGTTACTGGAGTGGAGTGTTGCTGGAGTGGAGTGTTGCTGGAGTGGAGTGTTACTGGAGTGGAGTGTTACTGGAGTGGAGTGTTGCTGGAGTGGAGTGTTGCTGGAGTGGAGTGTTACTGGAGTGGAGTGTTACTGGAGTGGAGTGTTGTTGGAGTGGAGTGTTGCTGGAGTGGAGTGTTACTGGAGTGGAGTGTTGCTGGAGTAGAGTGTTGCTGGAGTGGAGTGTTGTTGGAGTGGAGTGTTGCTGGAGTGGAGTGTTACTGGAGTGGAGTGTTGCTGGAGTGGAGTGTTGCTGGAGTAGAGTGTTGCTGGAGTGGAGTGTTGTTGGAGTGGAGTGTTGCTGGAGTGGAGTGTTGCTGGAGTGGAGTGTTACTGGAGTGGAGTGCTGCTGGAGTGGAGTGTTGCTGGAGTGGAGTGTTACTGGAGTGGAGTGTTGTTGGAGTGGAGTGTTGCTGGAGTGGTGTGTTACTGGAGTGGAGTGTTGCTGGAGTGGAGTGTTGCTGGAGTGGAGTGTTACCGGAGTGGAGTGTTGCTGGAGTGGAGTGTTACTGGAGTGGAGTGTTGTTGGAGTGGAGTGTTGCTGGAGTGGAGTGTTACTGGAGTGGAGTGTTGCTGGAGTGGAGTGTAACTGGAGTGGAGTGTTGCTGGAGTGGAGTGTTGCTGCAGTGGAGTGCTGCTGGAGTGGAGTGTTGTTGGAGTGGAGTGTTGCTGGAGTGGAGTGTTGCTGGAGTGTTGCTGGAGTGGAGTGTTGCTGGAGTGGAGTGTTGCTGGAGTGGAGTGTTTTTGGAGTGGAGTGTTGCTGGAGTGGAGTGTTGCTGGAGTGGAGTGTTTGCTGGAGTGGAGTGTTGCTGGAGTGGAGTGTTGCTGGAGTAGAGTGTTGCTGGAGTGGAGTGTTGCTGGAGTGGAGTGTTACTGGAGTGGAGTGTTGCTGGAGTGGAGTGTTACTGGAGTGGAGTGTTGCTGGAGTGGAGTGTTGCTGGAGTGGAGTGTTACTGGAGTGGAGTGTTACTGGAGTGGAGTGTTGCTGGAGTGGAGTGTTGCTGGAGTGGAGTGTTACTGGAGTGGAGTGTTGCTGGAGTGGAGTGTTGCTGGAGTGGAGTGTTACTGGAGTGGAGTGTTGCTGGAGTGGAGTGTTGTGGAGTGGAGTGTTGTTGGAGTGGAGTGTTGCTGGAGTGGAGTGTTGCTGGAGTGGAGTGTTGCTGGAGTGGAGTGTTGCTGGAGTGGAGTGTTGCTGGAGTGGAGTGTTACTGAAGTGGAGTGTTACTGGAGTGGAGTGTTGCTGGAGTGGAGTGTTACTGGAGTGGAGTGTTGCTGGAGTGGAGTGTTGCTGGAGTGTTGCTGGAGTGGAGTGCTGCTGGAGTGTTGCTGGAGTGGAGTGTTGCTGGAGTGGAGTGTTGCTGGAGTGTTGCTGGAGTGGAGTGCTGCTGGAGTGTTGCTGGAGCGGAGTGTTGCTGGAGTGTTGCTGGAGTGAAGTGCTGCTGGAGTGTTGCTGGAGTGGAGTGTTGCTGAAGTGGAGTGTTGCTGGAGTGGAGTGTTACTGGAGTGGAGTGTTACTGGAGTGGAGTGTTGTTGGAGTGGAGTGTTCCTGGAGTGGAGTGTTACTGGAGTGGAGTGTTGCTGGAGTGGAGTGTTGTTGGAGTGGAGTGTTGCTGGAGTGGAGTGTTACTGGAGTGGAGTGTTGCTGGAGTGGAGTGTTGCTGGAGTAGAGTGTTGCTGGAGTGGAGTGTTGTTGGAGTGGAGTGTTGCTGGAGTGGAGTGTTGCTGGAGTGGAGTGTTACTGGAGTGGAGTGCTGCTGGAGTGGAGTGTTGCTGGAGTGGAGTGTTACTGGAGTGGAGTGTTGTTGGAGTGGAGTGTTGCTGGAGTGGAGTGTTACTGGAGTGGAGTGTTGCTGGAGTGGAGTGTTGCTGGAGTGGAGTGTTACCGGAGTGATGTGTTGTTGGAGTGGAGTGTTGCTGGAGTGGAGTGTTACTGGAGTGGAGTGTTGTTGGAGTGGAGTGTTGCTGGAGTGGAGTGTTACTGGAGTGGAGTGTTGCTGGAGTCGAGTGTAACTGGAGTGGAGTGTTGCTGGAGTGGAGTGTTGCTGGAGTGGAGTGCTGCTGGAGTGGAGTGTTGTTGGAGTGGAGTGTTGCTGGAGTGGAGTGTTGCTGGAGTGTTGCTGGAGTGGAGTGTTGCTGGAGTGGAGTGTTGCTGGAGTGGAGTGTTTTTGGAGTGGAGTGCTGTTGGAGTGGAGTGTTGCTGGAGTGGAGTGTTGCTGGAGTGGAGTGTTGCTGGAGTGGAGTGTTGCTGGAGTGGAGTGTTGCTGGAGTGGAGTGTTGCTGGAGTGGAGTGTTGCTGGAGTAGAGTGTTGCTGGAGTGGAGTGTTGCTGGAGTGGAGTGTTACTGGAGTGGAGTGTTGCTGGAGTGGAGTGTAACTGGAGTGGAGTGTTGCTGGAGTGGAGTGTTGCTGGAGTGGAGTGTTACTGGAGTGGAGTGTTACTGGAGTGGAGTGTTGCTGGAGTGGAGTGTTGCTGGAGTGGAGTGTTACTGGAGTGGAGTGTTGCTGGAGTGGAGTGTTGCTGGAGTGGAGTGTTACTGGAGTGGAGTGTTGTTGGAGTGGAGTGTTGTTGGAGTGGAGTGTTGTTGGAGTGGAGTGTTGCTGGAGTGGAGTGTTGCTGGAGTGGAGTGTTGCTGGAGTGGAGTGTTACTGAAGTGGAGTGTTACTGGAGTGGAGTGTTGCTGGAGTGGAGTGTTACTGGAGTGGAGTGTTGCTGGAGTGGAGTGTTGCTGGAGTGTTGCTGGAGTGGAGTGCTGCTGGAGTGTTGCTGGAGTGGAGTGTTGCTGGAGTGGAGTGTTGCTGGAGTGTTGCTGGAGTGGAGTGCTGCTGGAGTGTTGCTGGAGCGGAGTGTTGCTGGAGTGTTGCTGGAGTGGAGTGCTGCTGGAGTGTTGCTGGAGTGGAGTGTTGCTGAAGTGGAGTGTTGCTGGAGTGGAGTGTTACTGGAGTGGAGTGTTACTGGAGTGGAGTGTTGTTGGAGTGGAGTGTTCCTGGAGTGGAGTGTTGCTGGAGTGGAGTGTTGCTGGAGTGGAGTGTTGCTGGAGTGGAGTGTTGTTGGAGTGGAGTGTTGCTGGAGTGGAGTGTTACTGGAGTGGAGTGTTGCTGGAGTGGAGTGTTGCTGGAGTAGAGTGTTGCTGGAGTGGAGTGTTGTTGGAGTGGAGTGTTGCTGGAGTGGAGTGTTGCTGGAGTGGAGTGTTACTGGAGTGGAGTGCTGCTGGAGTGGAGTGTTGCTGGAGTGGAGTGTTACTGGAGTGGAGTGTTGTTGGAGTGGAGTGTTGCTGGAGTGGAGTGTTACTGGAGTGGAGTGTTGCTGGAGTGGAGTGTTGCTGGAGTGGAGTGTTACCGGAGTGATGTGTTGTTGGAGTGGAGTGTTGCTGGAGTGGAGTGTTACTGGAGTGGAGTGTTGTTGGAGTGGAGTGTTGCTGGAGTGGAGTGTTACTGGAGTGGAGTGTTGCTGGAGTCGAGTGTAACTGGAGTGGAGTGTTGCTGGAGTGGAGTGTTGCTGGAGTGGAGTGCTGCTGGAGTGGAGTGTTGTTGGAGTGGAGTGTTGCTGGAGTGGAGTGTTGCTGGAGTGTTGCTGGAGTGGAGTGTTGCTGGAGTGGAGTGTTGCTGGAGTGGAGTGTTTTTGGAGTGGAGTGCTGTTGGAGTGGAGTGTTGCTGGAGTGGAGTGTTGCTGGAGTGGAGTGTTGCTGGAGTGGAGTGTTGCTGGAGTGGAGTGTTGCTGGAGTGGAGTGTTGCTGGAGTAGAGTGTTGCTGGAGTGGAGTGTTGCTGGAGTGGAGTGTTACTGGAGTGGAGTGTTGCTGGAGTGGAGTGTAACTGGAGTGGAGTGTTGCTGGAGTGGAGTGTTGCTGGAGTGGAGTGTTACTGGAGTGGAGTGTTACTGGAGTGGAGTGTTGCTGGAGTGGAGTGTTGCTGGAGTGGAGTGTTACTGGAGTGGAGTGTTGCTGGAGTGGAGTGTTGCTGGAGTGGAGTGTTACTGGAGTGGAGTGTTGTTGGAGTGGAGTGTTGTTGGAGTGGAGTGTTGTTGGAGTGGAGTGTTGCTGGAGTGGAGTGTTGCTGGAGTGGAGTGTTGCTGGAGTGGAGTGTTACTGAAGTGGAGTGTTACTGGAGTGGAGTGTTGCTGGAGTGGAGTGTTACTGGAGTGGAGTGTTGCTGGAGTGGAGTGTTGCTGGAGTGTTGCTGGAGTGGAGTGCTGCTGGAGTGTTGCTGGAGTGGAGTGTTGCTGGAGTGGAGTGTTGCTGGAGTGTTGCTGGAGTGGAGTGCTGCTGGAGTGTTGCTGGAGCGGAGTGTTGCTGGAGTGTTGCTGGAGTGGAGTGCTGCTGGAGTGTTGCTGGAGTGGAGTGTTGCTGAAGTGGAGTGTTGCTGCTGGAGTGTTGCTGAAGTGGAGTGTTGCTGCTGGAGTGGAGTGCTGACGTTTTGGGGTCTTCGGCGACATTCTGAGTGGAGGTTGTAGGTTCTCTCTCCCCATGTTCTCCAAGGGTTTCCTCCCGGACCTTCCATTTCCTCCTCCCATAGCTAAACCAACATACACTGTGGAACTGGTATCGGCCAAACCCACATCTCAGTGCTGAGAAATCACCGGCTCAGTACTCAATTGGGATCACAGAGGAGCAGCAACATCGCCTCCTGCTGAGAAAACTCCTGAAAATGAGCCAAGAGACTCGGTTGGCGATCCTGATCAAAACAAGCGGCATGTTGATGCTTCTACTGCAATAGTGAATCACTATGGACGAGAGTCGGATGCGTGAGTGGCTGCGCAACTTCCGTGCCGAGGTTTCCTCGCCCGTGCTGGGGAGACCTTCTTTAACCTCTGCCAGCAGGTGACCGTGACCTCGACGTGGCGGCCGCCGCGGTCACCTGCGAGTCGAAGGCCACCAAGGCGCAGGAGCGGCAGCGATTCCTCTTCTTCGAGGAGTCTTGCCACCAGCCGCACGAGGCGGACAACTTCCCCTCTCCGGGGCTGCTGCAAGTTGTCGGACGAAGAGGTGCGAGCGGTGGGGGTGGTGCGAGCGGTGGGGGTGGTGCGAGCGGTGGGGGTGGTGCGAGCGGTGGGGGTGGTGCGAGCGGTGGGGGTGGTGCGAGCGGAGGGGGTGGTGCGAGCGGTGGGGGTGGTGCGAGCGGTGGGGGTGGTGCGAGCGGTGGGGGTGGTGCGAGCGGTGGGGGTGGTGCGAGCGGTGGGGGTGGTGCGAGCGGTGGGGGTGGTGCGAGCGGTGGGGGTGGTGCGAGCGGTGGGGGTGGTGCGAGCGGTGGGGGTGGTGCGAGCGGAGGGGGTGGTGCGAGCGGTGGGGGTGGTGCGAGCGGTGGGGGTGGTGCGAGCGGTGGGGGTGGTGCGAGCGGTGGGGGTGGTGCGAGCGGAGGGGGTGGTGCGAGCGGTGGGGGTGGTGCGAGCGGTGGGGGTGGTGCGAGCGGTGGGGGTGGTGCGAGCGGTGGGGGTGGTGCGAGCGGTGGGGGTGGTGCGAGCGGTGGGGGGGGTGCGAGCGGTGGGGGTGGTGCGAGCGGTGGGGGTGGTGCGAGCGGTGGGGGTGGTGCGAGCGGTGGGGGTGGTGCGAGCGGTGGGGGTGGTGCGAGCGGTGGGGGTGGTGCGGCATTCAGTTGGGTGGGGTCCCCCCGGTATTGCGAGCGGCCTCTCGCACGGTGGCACCTCGAGGCTATTGTTGTAAACCGCGGCCTCCTCTCTGCCCTCGTCGCATCACGTCGTTACGAACATTTAAGGCTGTAGGGGGCGCGCCTTCTCGGCTAAATTCAGCCACTGCAGCGCTGCTCGTCTTACCTGGTTACACCGTGACGATGACGATGCTGGAGTGTTGCCGAGTCCGAGCGAGGGCGAAACCGGTAGTGGGCGATGGAGGCGGTCTGGTGTCGGGAAGCCGTTGTTAGTGCGGGTGGCAATAGGCGCTCGCAAACCTCGCTCTCAAGCTCCGGGCGTGGGAAACACCAACACGGCAGTCAGTGGGCATCATCAACACCGGCACAACTTGTGACCGTGATGTCGAGTTATCATTCGGGCATTATGATCATTCATTTCAAGTGCATTCTCCAACTCTACCGCACTCCATCTTTGTTGGCTTCTCGATTTACCGGTCCTGGAGGAGGACCATTGCCCGCAACGTCGCCCGTTGTGAATGGTTCCTGTTCGGGCAGCAGCGTGAGCGCCGCGCGATGAACCAGCCACCCGAGTTCGATTCCTGCTCAGGGCCACCAACACCATCACTCAAGACGGCTCGAGAGGAGCTGAGCACCCCGAGCTGCCACTGCTATTCAGTGGCCTGAAATCAAATGTATCATTCCGGATGACCGCTGCAAATTAGGATCTTGAGTTTTGATGATTGTGCTGATCTTTAAAGGTGTATTGAAAAATGTTGATACTCCTGCTATTATGGAGTGACTCATGCTGCCATCTATGACTGCAAAGTTTGGTCGTACATGTTATGTATATCGTTTGTTAACTTTTAATCACAGTTCCTGTGATCACTGTTACATTTTTCATGGCTTTATTTTGGAGATTTCGAAAACGTTTTGGTTTAGCCATATTTGTTTGTTGTAGTACAGAGTTAGACTGATAACTTTAATCTACATTGTCTTATGGTTGTTATTGTTTGACTTGCATCCCACTGGGATGTTTGCACACAGCGTTGATATACGGTGCTTCTTCTGGAAGACTGCTGTTTTTTCCTGAAATTTTCTGTTGCGCGTAGTCACTTTAAGATGTTCTTTGTTCATGTTTTTGTTTGTTGCGGTTGCACCTGAGTCAAGAGCCGCATAGCTCACAGGGATATACCTAATAAATCAAACAGAGAAAAAAACAATGACGATTATCCGAATCGGTCCTGGGCCTTGCCCTGGTCGGCTCAGCCTCAAATGAGTACCTAGGGCCACGTGTAAAACATCGCCACTGGGGAGACAAAGGCGGCCGGGGCGTAATGCTGGCAACGGACCCCTCGTGTGCCGTGGCTACGTTTCATCGTTGCTGCTCGCTAACAGCACTTGCCTCAACAGTCCGTTAAAGGCCACACGGGGGACCTGTGTGTGCGTGTCGCGCAGAGCCCATCGGCAGCATGTCCTCCATGGAGGTGAACGTGGATGCGCTGGAGCTGCTCGACGTCTCCGACCACGAGGTGTTCGCCGGCTCGGGCGGAGAAGACAACACCGAGGCCTCGCCCGTGCCCGGTGGGGAGGCGCTCGTTGCGTGACGCGGCGTATGCGGGCTGGGCGCAGTGCGGAGTTCATTGTATGACTGTGGCGTCGTGTGGTACGGTGTGGCCATGCCGTGTGCCCGTGCCGTGTGCCGGGCTGCGACCACGCCACCCGCAGAGGAGGAGCTGTGCCTGGCGGTGCCCGCGCTCCCCGGAGCGGCCACGCGCTCCCCGGGCCCAGCGGTGTCCGGGCCCAGCGGCGGCCATGCGGCCACCGAGGGGGCGCAGCCGCCCCGCGCGGCCGCTGGCAGCGAGGAGGGCGACGCCGGCAAGGGGCAGCGGGCGGACTAGCTGCGGAGAAAATCCAGAAACTGCGGCCCCCTCCTCCCTGCCAGACTCCCCGAGTTCCTATATCGGGGCTCATCTCCTGTTTTCCAGCCCTGCAGAGCCAGTGCAAATATTCCACATTAGCATGACGGGGGCGAGTCGTTCCAAAGGACACAAGCACTTGCTGCCGGCTTCCCGCCACGTAAAGTCGCGCTCAATTTCAATGCGACGTGAATTTACGAACCGGAATCTGGCGGCCTTAGCCGTACGCACGGAACCACCACCACCACCCAGCACCACCACGTCTTCAGGCGTGGACTGCCAAGTGGGCAGGGCGATGGCAATGACCTCTCGACTCCCGTCTGTGCGGAGCTGCCAGCGGTGTTCACGCGTGGTGTGGGTGGGGTCCCTCCCGGGGGGGGGGTCCCTCCCGGGGGGGGGGGGGGTCCCCCCCGGGGGGGGGGGGGGCCCCCCCCAGGGGGGGGGGGGGGGTCCCTCCCGGGGGGGGGAGTCCCTCCCAGGGGGGGTGGGGTCCCTCCCGGGGAGGGGGGGGTCCCTCCCGCACGCCGCTCGGCCACGGAGCGAGACGACCCCCCCCCCCTGACACCCACGTGGGACTCAAGACGGCTCACGCCTCCTCCGTCCTTCTGTACACATCGCATCTGATCAGGCTCAAGGTCTTACGCATCACGTGAGCGGCGTTGGTTGAGTACAAGCAACAAGTCAGTGTCCCGTGAGCACTCGGACGTGGAGAGCCGTGCGTAGCGCGGGACCCCTCTAGACCATGAGCCTCGAGACTGGGCGAGGCTGCCGAGGTACACCACGGGGCACGCGGAGGGGGGCGAGGGGGGTTAGAGGGGGTGGGGGATTGGGGGGGTGGATTTTAATGGGTGGGGGGGGGGGGGCCGCAGCAATGATCAGGAGGCGCCCAGAGTAAAAAAAAAAACCCAAAAACTTTATTTGGAAAATTCAATTGAACGCAACTCTCGCGGTTAAAATGCACGAAAAAAAATTACTTAAAACGTCTACTTAATAAAAAAAAAACTTCATCATCATCGTCACCATCGTCGTCGTCACCATCATCCGAAAAAAACACAAATCAGAAAATAAATAAATAAAACCGGCGTAGCCACTTCTTAAAACAGAGAGCAGGAACAGAGAGCTGGGAAGAGGCACAGCGAGCGGGGAGCAGGCACAGCGAGCGGGGAGCAGGCACAGCGAGCGGGGAGCAGGCACAGCGAGCGGGGAGCAGGCACAGCGAGCGGGAGCAGGAACAGCGAGCGGGGAGCAGGCACAGCGAGCGGGGAGCAGGAACAGCGAGCGGGGAGCAGGAACAGCGAGCGGGGAGCAGGAACAGCGAGCAGGGAGCAGGAACAGCGAGCGGGGAGCAGGAACAGCGAGCAGGGAGCAGGCACAGCGAGCGGGGAGCAGGAACAGCGAGCGGGGAGCAGGAACAGCGAGCGGGGAGCAGGAACAGCGAGCGGGGAGCAGGAACAGCGAGCAGGGAGCAGGCACAGCGAGCGGGGAGCAGGAACAGCGAGCGGGGAGCAGGCACAGCGAGCGGGGAGCAGGAACAGCGAGCGGGGAGCAGGCACAGCGAGCGGGGAGCAGGAACAGCGAGCGGGGAGCAGGAACAGCGAGCGGGGAGCAGGCACAGCGAGCGGGGAGCAGGAACAGCGAGCGGGGAGCAGGCACAGCGAGCGGGGAGCAGGAACAGCGAGCGGGGAGCAGGAACAGCGAGCGGGGAGCAGGCACAGCGAGCAGGGAGCAGGAACAGCGAGCGGGGAGCAGGCACAGCGAGCGGGGAGCAGGAACAGCGAGCGGGGAGCAGGAACAGCGAGCGGGGAGCAGGCACAGCGAGCGGGGAGCAGGAACAGCGAGCGGGGAGCAGGCACAGCGAGCGGGGAGCAGGAACAGCGAGCGGGGAGCAGGCACAGCGAGCGGGGAGCAGGAACGCAGTGGGAGTTGGTGCGGGGGGCGAGGGGAATGTAACGCAGCGACTGAAGCGAGCCTCCCAGACGGGGAAAGCACGTGACTCTCGCGCGACTTTCCCCCCCCCCGACCCCCCAAAATCCGTCGCGCCTGTTGCGCTATCGGCGCCGCGTCACGGAGGATCCCTCGGGAACTCTCGCGGTTTGGAGAGCGCCCCCCTGGGAAGCGGACATGAGAGAGCGGCCCCTTCCGAGCGCGTGCGCAGGGGCCGGGCTGCTGCCGTGGTGAGCGATGTTCGTCACGCTGCGCCTCGAGTGGCAGAATTGTGTCAGAAAGGCGCCTCTTGTTTCAGCAAAACAAAAATAAAATTGACGTGACAAGAGACCAAGCCAATTGCACAGATTCATTGAAGAGGCGACTTTCGAGAGCGACTTAAGCAAACGAAGCATCATGCCCTGTCGACTTTTAAACGAACCCCCCCCCCCCCCCCCCTTGTAACCCTGACGTCGGCTTCCACAGAGATAATCCGACTTTCAACAAACGTCAAGGAAAAGTAGTCCGACTGTTTTAAAGGAATGTTTTGGTTTTGCGAATCGGAGCGCGGTGGGGGGGGGAAAGAGGTTTTCGTTTAAACTCGGCACCATTTCCAACGTCCCCTAGAAATTCACGGCGTGCAGCCGCGCGGGACTCAGGGTCGCGTTTCTCGAGCCGCGTCTCTTCGTCACCACGGCGTCGCAACAGGGGAGAGCATCACGTCCACCCATCATCACGGCCATCAATCGGCGGTGAGTAAAATGGGTACACGCCCGAGAGATAGAAAAGGCTGTTCGTGTTGGTGCAGTGACACGCTCGTGGAAAGACTGGTCTCCGCCATGGGAATGTGGAGTTCCCACCACTGCCTCAGAGATGGGTACACATTTAATACCATCGTGTTTGCTACAACTAAGCTGACATTACCGAATCTTCGCCGAGGGTGCTTCACCGTGACGCGTCCACATCCACCATGTCTCATTCGGGTGAAGGAAAAAGGATCTCACTCATTCATCCGCTCTCTCAAACATGCAATCCAGTCTGGTTAAGCCCAGGATGGATCGTAGGCAGGCCAGCCTGAATGGTTTTCTAACCAGCAAATGTTCCATGGGGGGAGGGGGGGGCATGACTGTCAAGACCGAGAGGTTCGTGTGGAGCGACAGACCAGGTCGCTTCCACACAGCAGCGTTACACAGCCGATGAAAAGATAATGCCGCTCGACTGATTCGGAGCGAGACCTCCACTGCGAAACCGGAGATGGTCAAAAACACACTGCCCAGGTACGGACACTTCTCTACTCTCTCGACAACTGCCCCATCACTTATGGGATATTTAGGGGGGCAGAGTACAGGCAGACCTCGCTTAGCACTCAAGATACACTCCTGGAGAGGTGAGCGCTAATCGAATCAGCGTTAAAGGGGGTCGTTTTACCATTGTATGTATGGGGATGCATTCCCGACGGTGTCGTTTTCTATAAGCAATACACGAGGGCTTCATTGGGGTATTGAAAATAGCGCTAATAATAGCACAGGTGTTAAGACATTTCATAAGTATTTTTGTAAGTCCGTAAAGTCGTGTACTCACGAGTGCCTTCTACTGTCCTCCGCTCGGGCAGCGGAGACGAGGCGCGAGCTGCTGCACTCCCAGGCTGGAGACGAGCTCCAGGAAGTCTGTGATCTCAGCGATGCCCTCACTTAAAATTATTGTAGTGGGGGTTATTTTAGGCGGAGCCGAAGACCCCATCCTAATCGCACGAGATCTCACCTGGCAAAACTGTTACGTCGATTATTTTGTGAATGTAATCGCGGCCATGATAATGGCTCGCAGGGGGTGAGGTCTGGTTGGTCGAGGGCGTCGCTCTCATTCGCTGAGAGTCATGGGGGGCGGGTACGTTTCTTCGGCCATTCCTGCTGGGTCTTCTCTCGCTTGTCAGCAATTTACTTGTCGATTTTATGTATTCTTAGATCTTTAGAAGAAAAAATATCTCCAGGACAAAGAGCGCTGTAGCGAATCGGCGTTCTACGGGGTCGTGCTAAACGAGGTCTGTCTGTATTTGATAACACAAAATACCCAGGCAGGTGCTTAGTTGTGGTGGGGGTAATGGTGAGGCCCCACCTTTTAGTGACACACTCCAGGTTCAAAAGTCGTGCCTCCAACTACTCCTCCTCTGAGTGAGCAGCAACCACAAGATCAGTGTAAATAACATGGTTGACCGATACGGAGCCATCCCTCGACTGCACACGGGCATCGATCAGCCTCCCATTGTATCTGTACCAGATGGAATTCATCAAGTGCAACCATGGAAGTCTTCACGAACTACGTGGTCGAAATAGATGTTAAATAATGTGGGAGCCAGAGGACATCCCTGTCGCATACAGGGAATGGCTCCGACTCCCGGCCACGTAGTTTTACCCAGGCCCGCTCACCATCATGAAGGTCCTTAATGATTGCAAGCAGAGTCAGACTCCAAAAGCACGAAAAACAGCAAAGAGCCCTGGCATATTGATGGTATTATAGGCCTTGACCAGGTCAATAAAGCAAAGTTGTAGGTCTCGTTGAAATTTCCTACACCTCTGCTGTAGAAGGCGAACAGAGAATATGGTATCTGTGCAGGAAACCACAATGGGGCTCCGCAAGCCTCTACTCAGCACACTGCCTGGCCATGTGGAATAATCATTTCTAGGACCTTTCCTGGCCTCATTACTGAAGAGGAAGATTATCCGGCAGTTGTTACAATCAGTGCGGTCCCCTCTTCCTAAAGTGGGGGACATCACCAGGGCATCCTTCCAATCCACACACTCATTCACACTCTCACCCACCCGCTCTCAAGGCATGCGAGGATCTCTGCGCACAGCGTAAACCCAGCCCCATGTAGCACCACATCGTCTTGGGGGAGGAAGCAGGGGGGGCGGGGGCAAAGGCAGGCAACCCCCAACCCCTCAACCGATAAGTCGTTGTCGTCATCGTCGTCGTCTTCCTGAGTTAACAGAACGGACTCCTTCGCTCAGTGGCTTTGTAGCGTCTCGCGACTCGCTGTAGCTGCCTCCGGAGAACACTCGCACAGTGCACGCACAGGGTGCGACTCACAAGCAGGGCACGAGTTCAAATCCTGACCGGGGTTCGTCACCGTCATCGCATCCCCTTGAGGATGGAAAGCGCAAGACAACATTGGTTGACCTCATGCTCCACGGGGGAAAAAAACGAGTTCCCCGCCATGGGAATGTGGAATATGTAATTGCTTGGCGAGGATTTGCCCTGAACGGAGACGTTTGGAGTTGAGGGCGCGTTGGAGGTCAGGGAGTGGTGGACGCCATCAGGGCAAAAACAAGGAATGAGGAATCGGGGGAGAAGGTGGAGGGAAGGAGGACACGAGAGCAGCAGGGAGGGGAGGAGAGTGGATAATGATGGAGAGAGGAAGGTTGGGGGGGGGAGTGGTGATGGAAGGCTGAGGGAGGTGAGGGAGGGAGGGAGGAAGGTGAATGAGAACGGAGAGGGAGGTTGGGAGAGAAGTTGTCGAAAGATGGTGTAGTGTTTCATGTAGATGGGTCCTCGCAGTATCTCCCAGGACTTCAAGGTATCTCAGGCTATGGCCATGTGTGGAGCAACTTCTAAATCACCACAGTGAGAATATGACGGCCGAATGAAAGCTGCGTACGTATCAACATCACCAGCACCGCCGTCATCGTCATCGTCGTAATCATCACCGTTGTCATTGTGTCGGCGAAACGTCTCAATCTTAAGGCTTTGTTTTCACTTACAGAGAAATTCAAAAAGAAGGCATCGAGCGCGGGCTCTCCCGCAAGGCGCAGCGTCGCGCGGGCCACGCTGGTCACGAGAGGCGATCGCTGGCGCGAGAGGAGACAGCCGCCACCGCCGCCACTACCGCCGGAGGAGGCGCCGGCGGAGGCGGGATTCTCACCAAGCGGCGGTGCGGGAAGACGGCGGCTCGGTGCGCTGGGGGGCGCGTGAGTGGACGTTCGTCCGGCCCGGCGATTCTTCTTTGGGAAAAAAAACCACGGAAGAGTTCATTTTTGTTGTTTTGTTTCGAGCGTCCGTCGATTCGTGAACGTCCGTAAACTGACTCCTCGCCGAGCGAGCATAGTGCATTTCCCCAAGTCTGTGATTCTTGGATTTGCATTTTCACCACCGTCCACGTATCAGCGACAACGAAAACCTCAACGGCATTCCGCGCTCTGTCGCTTCTGTTTAACGCAAAAAAACCACAAAACCGAAACATTTTACAAATGAAAAAAATTAACCACAGACGAAGGGGGGGGGGGTGTTAACAGCGCAAGGCCCACACGTGCTGTTAACTCCCTGGGAGTGCACGGCAACCGCCACCACCGCTCTGCCGCATCCTCTTGCCTCTCCGACTTTCCCCAAAACCCAGTCACCGCAGCTGCTTTAAGGGACACGCTCTGCACACAGCTCCTCATGGCACGGGTGGCCCAGCGCACCCCATCGCTGGCGCTGCCCCCCAAAACCAAACCGCGGGGGCTCACCCCCACCCCCCTCGCTTTCCGTGCGCAGCGACCGCGCTCATGGTACCCGGCCGCTCCACCTAGCGGGGGGGGGGGGGCGCCACGCGGATTTGGAGTCCCGGTGCGAGACCGAGTCGTCCTACAGAGGCTGCCCCCCATTCACTGCCCCCCCACCCTCCCCCAATCCCTGCGGAGACATCGCGTTACTGCATAGGAACAGGAACCGTTTGGGAAAGTGCCCGTGTGACCAGGATTCACGATTGATGTTGTGGTTGGGCCCGGCGGCAAAAGCGCGTCATGGCCCACCAGCCGTGCGCCAGCGTGTCCCCCCCCCCCCCGTTGGCCGTGAGTGGCGCCTCCCGGACCCCCGATGGACTCGGCGGACAGCCGCCCTCCAGCGTGCCACACTGAAGGGCGGCTGCACGGAGACCTCGCCCTTGGTCGGAAACCCGTTCGGCGGGGCCCAGTGATGGCATGGCAAGTCAGAGCCGGCCAAGACAGACTGTGGGATCCGTGATAAGAAACTGGTTTGGTGTGGATTTTTTTCCCTCCGTTCCTCCTCGCCAGTTGGTCCCCCGCCAAACCAGTGCTGGCACGGCCGATCGCTCCGCAGCGGGCGTCGTGATGATGATGGAAGACGTGCGGCAGGCGGATTTTGGAGATGACCCTGAAAGACGCTGGACGCACTTCTCAGTTTCATCGCTGTTAAATTTGGTTGTTTGGCTGCGCCGGGTGGTGGAGAGTTACGAGACGAAAAGTTTGGCCAGATAGCTACGTGGGCCCAACCCAAAAAAATCAATCGTGAAAAATAAGCTTGGCTGTAAAAAAACCTAGGCGGTTAAGTTAGCCGGTATACTTGGTGTTTGAGAGGTGTCGGTACGTACGGCTACACCGGCACAAGTCACACCGCCTAACACCCGCAAAACACTAATGCTGATGAGGCTCAATAGCTCAACACGATGGCAACGTGTCGACGCAAACAGTAAACTGCCTTCTCCCATCACTCGAGAGGCGAGGAAGGCTTTTAAACAGTCACACAAAGGAATCACTCACAACAACAACGAGGAGGAGACGGGGTTAGGGTGGTTGTTGTTGTCTGTGCAGCTGCCAGAGGAATGGGGAAACAGGCTGCACGGGAGGCCGTGGCCACCCTGAGCAGCTCAACAAAGGCACTGGCTTGGGTCGGCGGTGCCCTCCGCCCACCGTCGCCCATCGGCAAAAACAGAACCCGAGGGCACGAGCGCGCCGCACCGGCTGGGTCGCGCACCACGCAGCGGCAGAGAAACGCGACATTCTGGTGGAAAAGGCGCCGGCACAGCGGGAATTGTGGGTAATTCTCATCCAGTTTTCAGCCGCCCCGATTGTCCCAGCGGGCACTGCGGCGTCACCAAGAACCCGTTCAGAAATCTCGACCCCCTTTCCGTGCCGGAGAACGGCACGCGGAAGCACATATCGCAGAGCTACCTCCGAGATCGTCTTCAAGCGACACCTCCGTTCCGCACAGAGGCCACACGGAACTAATGCTCCTCGCGTGACAGCCCAACTGGTATTTGATTCTGAAGAGCTGAATCTGGCCAATGTTGCTGGCAAACCAAATAAAGTACATGCCGCGTCTCCTCCGTGCGGTCGCTGGCAGCGCTTTAATCCCGGGCCGCGTTTTTACCAAACTGGGGCCGGTGATCGTCCCCCCTCCCCCTCTCCGCCGATTCGTAAACCCTCCCCCCCTCCCCCCGCCCCTGTCGAGCATGTCTGAATCGCCGACCGCTGAGGACGCGTCGGCAGATCTAGCGGCGAGCGCCGCTTCGTTGCTCTGCACGGCGGCTTTGACTTTGAATGAAAATTGGAAAAAATATTTCAATATACAACAGAAGGGCGAGGCGAAGAGTCGGCGGCATGGGCTAGACACACGGGAACGCCGCCGCCGCGTCTGGAGTCATGTCAACCCGACGTATCCCAGCCAAGGGCGATTCCAAGTCATTCGATTACATCGTGAGGATGCCGAGCAGAGGATCAACTCATTAAGTAACTTCTGAAATGTCAAGTAATCAGTAATCACACCGATTCATTTTTCACTCCCCACGCACGGGGACAATCGCAGATCCTCACCGTTCCAGTCGGCAAAACTAAAACGACGCTAATCGGCGAACGTGCGACGTACGTGGAGCCTACAAATGTCGCGAGCATGTCGGTGCATCACCAGGAAATAAATAAAGCATTTCAGCAAAAACACTTCAGAGTTAATTCCATAAATAAAAGCGAAGAGAGATAAAATCGCAACGCGCACACCGCCACCCACTCCACCCCCTCCACCCCCCTTCCCCACCACCGCAGGGAATCTAACTCCGGTCAAGTTCACGTCGACACAACCCCCAGGGAGACTTGAAGCTAACGAGGAGTTGACGTGGACACGGGGAGCTCCGCTTCACACCTCCGAGGACTCGAGTGCAACGCCCCCGCAGTGCGGCACAACGGCGAGACGGCGGCGCACCGCACTGCCGTCGCACGGCACCACCCCCCTGCCCGCACGCACACGGACACACGCATACACGCACGTGGACGCACGTACACACGCACACGGACGCAAGCACACGGACGCACGCACAGGTCGACTAACAAATGACCAATCATTGTCAGCGACTTGCGACCAGCCTCGCGGTGGAGAAGGCCAGACGCACAGAGTGCCCCAACCCACGGGCTGCCAGGGCGGCTCGCGGGCAGCGCCTGCGAAGGTCGCCGCGGCACGTGTGGGCGCCGAGCGCCCGAGCGCCACGCCTGCTGCCCGCCTCCGTCTCGCTGGTGCCGATGTCTGCATGCTCACCGCACCGGGTAATCGTTTAAGGCCGAGTCAACCCTACGGGAGGGCCCAGGGCCTGTTTAGATGTTAGTCACCGGTATTGGCCGCGAGCGGGGAACTGAACTCGGGGTGGCCGGGGCTCACGACGCGCTGACCACCGCTCCCCACGCGCACGCACGTGAACGCACGCACGTGAACGCACGCACGTGAACGCACGCACGTGAACGCACGCACGTCAACATGTGCGCGAGCCCAAGGCATACGTGAGCATTGCAGCTCGTGCGTTTCTGCTGTTCCGTGACCGTGGCATTGTCCTGGTTTAAGGGCAAGCACCATGTTTGTTTCTCAAGCCCAACAGTGGCATGAAGCCATCACACGTCGCAAGCACCATTGTGAATCGTGACGTCACCGCCGCTCAGCGTGACGTCATCGCCATCATCATCACCACGACTACTGGGGAACTGCGTCGTTCTCACCTTGAATGGCTTTCAATTTTAAACAAAACACAATATCAATGTAATCAAGAAAGCAAAAACAACCATTGCCTAGACCTGAAATACTTTCACACTCACTAGGTAATTGTCTACAACATCTCAAGAAACGTCCCTCCAGGGGAACATGACACCTTAAAGACCCAGAGAAGAATGAGGATTATCCAGAGAAATGCGCAGCTCCGAGATCACCCGTGGAGACATTGTCGTGGCCAGAGCCACTGCTGATGCCACCGCCACGCCGCCTTCTCCACCACCACCACGATCGCCACGATCGCACCTCCTCACTACCAACGCATTCTGCGCCTACAGTCACCCACTGTCCACTCTTAGACTTGCACCGAGACCCGTACACTCGCACCGAGACCTACAGAGTCACAGAGAAACCTACGGACCCGCACAGAGACCCGTAGATCCGCACCAAGACCCGTAAACCCACACCGAGACCCGTGGACTCGCACGGCACCTGTCTCGGCGACTGCGGCCCGAACCGCCAACACGGTCGCGGTCAACGGCGCCCGAACCACGTGGGGCAGAACAGCCGACATTAGGACTTCCGCCTCAACCGCTCCTCACGATGAGATCGGCATGGCGGCCCTAACGCTCTCCTCCCGCTGCTGCTCCTCGTGCGGTCGTCGTGCAGCGGCGGCGGCCTGGCTCAGGAGAGGCCCTGGAGGCGCTTTGAGGTGGCAAGCGGCGGCGGCGGCGGAGACGGTGCCGGCGTCGCGAGCTCGGGGGAGTCCCGCGTACGAGTCAGCGGCGCCGGCGGCGTCGTCGTTGCGTTGCCGTGGCGAGTGCGGCGCGAGCTTCTCTTGGGCCGCGATGGCGACGCGGTGGTGGCGGTGCCGTCGCCGTGCCGTGCGGCGCCCGACGCCACCGCCGTGGTCACCCGGTACACCAGGCTGTTGATCTGCTCCTGCCGAGAGAGAGAGCAGGGGGAGAGTGTCAGAGTGACAGCGTGGGGAGAAAGATGGGGGCGGCATTGCAAAACACCGGCCCTCACCGCGCGCCTCACCTCAAAGTACGGGGGGGGGGGGGGTGGGGGGCGCGGTGATAATGGTGGTGGCGCACTGTGCTACGAACCTGGTGACCTGAGTTCGATTCCCACTCATGGTCAACACAAGTGACGAATATCTGAACTGGTACTGGGCCTCCAACTAGTTCGACTCAGCCTCAAATGAGTACCTGATGGGGTGTGTAAACATCGCCACTGGGGAGACAAAGGAGGCCGGGCGTGGTAATGACCACCCACCCCCTCGTGTGTCGTGCCAGCCATCATAGATGCTCGCTAACAGCACTTGCCCCAACGGTCTGTTAAGGTTACATTAGGGATCTTTGTCTTCGTCTTTTGGTGGTGGTGGTGGTGGTGATGACGGTGGTGTTGATGGTTGTGGTGATGCTGTGTTGATGGTGGTGATGGTGGTTAGTTTGTTGTCCTTTCGCTCGCACCTTCAATTCGCACATTTGGCTACATACGGCGGAAATTAATTAAACGTACACACACACACACGTGCCTCGTCGTAGCGGTACATCATCTTCAGACCACGGCACGTCTTCTTTTCCTTGACGTGGGCCAGCACGCACTCCAGACAGAACACGGTGCCGTCGCTCTCCTGCACCACCTGACACATGGTCGTCGTCAACACCATCATCGTCAACACCATCATCGTCAACACCATCATCGTCAACACCATCATCGTCAACACCATCATCGTCAACACCATCATCGTCAACACCATCATCGTCAACACCATCATCGTCAACACCATCATCGTCAACACCATCATCGTCAACGTCGTCGTCATCAACATTGTCAATATGGTCGTCGCCAACATCGTCAACATCGACGTCATCAACATCGTCAACATCAACGCCATCAACATCAACGTCGTCATCAACATCCTCGTAGTCATCATCATCGTCATCGTCACCACGATGGTACTCGTGAGGATTGGTGCAGGCTGCTGCTGGGTGGCGCTATGAGCGTTGCTCCTGACCACAGCAACAAGAACCATGGTGGTGCTACAAACACAGGTGATAGTAACGATGGTATCAACAAAATGATTATGGTGATGATTATGAACACGATAATGACGATGATATATATACTATTTTATGTAGATGCTGAAAAAAGGCCCCATGAGATAAAAAATAATAAAGTTTGGTGAGTAGGCGAGTGAATGAGTGGGTGAGGGGGATTGAGTGTGGGTGGGTGAGGGGGGTGAGTCCTCTGGCTCCCACATTATATAACATCTATTTAGACCAGGTAGTTCGTGAAGCCTTCGATGCCTGTACTGGGGGAATTTCCATCTGGTACAGATACAATGGGTGGCTGAACGATGCCCGAGGGCAGTCAAGGGATGGCTCCCTATTGGTCAACCATGTTATGTATTCGGATGATCTGGCAATTGCTGCTTACTCAGAGGAGGAGTTGGAGGTGCTGCTGCTGAACCTGGAGTGTGCCACTCAGGGGTAGGGTTCTACCATCAGCCCCACCAAAACTAAGCACTTGCCTGGGTATTTTGTGCCATCAGGCACTCCACCCCCACAACTCCCAATTGGTGATGGTGTAGTTGTGGAGAGAGTGGAGAGTTTTCCATGCCTGGGCAGTGTGCTCATGACCAGCTCCGGTTTGAGAGCAGAGGTCTCACTCCGAATCAGTTGAGCGGCATTATCTTTTCATCAGCTGCGTAACGCTGTGTGGAGGCGAGCTTGTCGGTTGCACCACACGAAGCTTCGGATCTTCTCGGCCACGGTCATGACCTCCGTTCTCTACGCTTGCGAAACTTGGACCCCCCTAATGGAACATCTTCGCCAGTTAGAACCATTTAGGCGGGACTGCCTATGCGCGATCCTTGGTTTAACCAGGCTGGATTGTGAGGAGTTCACAAATCCTTGAAAGATCTGGACAAAGCCCCATCGGTGAGCTCCTCCGACAGGCAACGCTGGGTTGGCTAGGTCATGTAGGCCGCATGCCCAGCCACTGGATAGAGGGAGCAAAACGGGCGCGGCAGGGGCGAGAGAAGAGATGGAGTGATGTGGTACAGGAAATTGTGGAGAAGGGTTGTGAAGGAAGCTACTGGGCATCGCTCTTCTGGAGGCAGTGGCCATCCAGAAGAGCGACGCTCACAACGAGTGGAGCGCCAGGTGGCTAAAACACAGCAAGTTGGCAGAGTAGAGAGCACAGCTGGTGCATCGGCCAGTCATCTCAGTCAGTCAACCCATGGCACCTAGGTCTGTCCCGAGACCCCTGCCAGCGGGCGTTCGACACTTTACATTGTCTTAATGTGCATATAGCCTGGCACAAGCGCCGTGGTGACGTCACCGCCACTTAGTGGCGAATGGCGGTTGTTGTTGTTGTTGTTGTGTGGGTGAGTCAATGTGCGGTGTGGTGAACACCGTGTGCATGAGCTGTCACAGTATGCAGAGCGATGGCGACAAGGACGGTAAAAACTCAAACTAAACAATTTTTTTATATTTGACCAGGTATTGCCCACTACTGAGCTATGTAGCTCTTTATCAGAAGCGACATGGCTATCAAAAATAATAGTTCAACGAAGTGACTTATCGTGTGGAAATTCATATCAGCTAAATACTATAAAATGCTTGATGTTGATTCTAAATGTCGAAGGAAAAACCAGAGGACCCATAGAAAAATCCACGCAACCACGGGGAGAGACACATCCAAACTCCAAATATACAGCAGCAGGCGTCAGGGTCGGGATCTAATCCACGATCTCCTGCATACCAGGCGAGCTAGTTAACATCTCCTAGCCACCGTGGCACCTCAAGCCGTACCATGGAGAGGTAGCAGAGCTGCCGGCACGTCTGGCAGCGTCTCTCTGGTGACTCGGGCTCGCCGGGGGAGCGCCGCACGCGCTTACGCACCACCATGGGGCTGCCCGGCGCGTGGGGACCCTCCGGGGCGGCGCCGTGCCGCGCCGAGAGTCGCAGGCCGGCTTCAAAGAGACGGCGTCGCCGCCGCAGCTCCACGTCCCTGCGGCCGCACGCACCGAGATCCAGACGTCACGTTGGACGTTGTGATGCCACCACCACGCAGACTCACACAGAGATCCAAAGACTCACACAGAGATCCACACACACACAGTGACCCAGACTCACACAGAGATCCAGACTCACAGAGACCCATAGACTCACACAGAGATCCAGACTCACACAGACCCATAGACTCACACAGACCCATAGACTCACACAGACATCTATAGACTCACACAGAGATCCACACACACACAGTGACCCAGACTCACACAGAGATCCAGACTCACAGAGACCCATAGACTCACACAGAGATCCAGACTCACACAGAGATCCAGACTCACACAGAGATCCAGACTCACACAGAGATCCAGACTCACACAGACCCATAGACTCACACAGAAATCTATAGACTCACACAGAGATCCACACACACACAGTGACCCAGACTCACACAGAGATCCAGACTCACAGAGACCCATAGACTCACACAGAGATCCAGACTCACACAGAGATCCAGACTCACACAGAGATCCAGACTCACACAGAGATCCAGACTCACACAGGGATCCAGACTCACACAGACCCATAGACTCACACAGACCCATAGACTCACACAGAAATCTATAGACTCAAACTGAGGGAAGGAGGGTGGGAGCAGAGGCAGGGAAGGAGACAGGGAGGGTGGGGGAGGGTGGGAGGGAGGGGGAGGAGGGGGGAGGGGGCACCGGAGGGTCTGCAGGAGCGGGGCGACGTGTCTGAGTGCCGCTGCGTTCTCCCTCTCCAGCTCCGCTACGGCTGCCAGGTAGAGGAGCTTTTCCACCGCAAACAGGTTGGGGGAGCGCCGCTCCCTCAGCGTCTACACGGGAGACACAGGGGGACATGGGGGATACAGGGGAGACACACGGGGAGACACACAGGGAGAGTGAAGGCGTTGCACGTTACAAGCGTTTAATTTGCCGTGGCAAGGCACCTAATCAGCGCGCCGCAGTGCAGTGAGTGTCGCGCGTGGTGGTGGTGAGTGTTGTGCGTGGTGGTGGTGAGTGCCGGTGAGTGGCGGTGGCTAGCGGTGAGTGGTGGTGAGTGGCGGCGAGTGCCGATGAGTGGCGGTGACTAGCGGTGAGTGGTGGTGACTGCTGGCGAGTGGTGGTGAGTGGTGGTGAATAGCGGTGAGTGGTGGTGAGTGGCGGCGAGTGCCGGTGAGTCGCGGTGACTAGTGGTGAGTGGTGGTGAGTGACGGTGAGTGACGACGAGTGGTGGTGAGTGGTGGTGAGTGACAGCGAGTGGTGGTGAGTGGTGGTGAGTGGTGGTGAGTGACAGCGAGTGGTGGTGAGTGGTGGTGAGTGGTGGTGAGTGGTGGTGAGTGGTGGCGAGTGGTGGTGAGTGGTGGTGAGTGGTGGTGAGTGACAGCGAGTGGTGGTGAGTGGTGGTGAGTGGTGGTGAGTGGTGGTGAGTGGTGGTGAGTGGTTGTGAGTGACAGCGAGTGGTGGTGAGTGGTGGTGAGTGGTGGTGAGTGGTGGCGAGTGGTGGTGAGTGGTGGTGAGTGGTTGTGAGTGACAGCGAGTGGTGGTGAGTGGTGGTGAGTGGTGGTGAGTGGTGGCGAGTGGTGGTGAGTGGTGGTGAGTGGTGGCGAGTGGTGGTGAGTGGTGGTGAGTGGTTGTGAGTGACAGCGAGTGGTGGTGAGTGGTGGTGAGTGGTGGTGAGTGGTGGTGAGTGATGGTGAGTGGTGGTGAGTGGTGGCGAGTGGTGGTGAGTGGTGGCGAGTGGTGGTGAGTGGTGGCGAGTGGTGGTGAGTGGTGGTGAGTGGTGGCGAGTGGTGGTGAGTGGTGGCGAGTGGTGGTGAGTGGTGGTGAGTGGTGGTGAGTGGTGGCGAGTGGTGGTGAGTGGTGGCGAGTGGTGGTGAGTGGTGGTGAGTGGTGGTGAGTGGTGGTGAGTGGTGGCGAGTGGTGGCGAGTGGTGGCGAGTGGTGGCGAGTGGTGGCGAGTGGTGGCGAGTGGTGGTGAGTGGTGGTGAGTGGTGGTGAGTGGTGGTGAGTGGTGGTGAGTGGTGGTGAGTGGTGGTGAGTGGTGGCGAGTGGTGGTGAGTGGTGGTGAGTGGTGGCGAGTGGTGGTGAGTGGTGGTGAGTGGTGGTGAGTGGTGGTGAGTGGTGGCGAGTGGTGGTGAGTGGTGGTGAGTGGTGGTGAGTGGTGGCGAGTGGTGGTGAGTGGTGGCGAGTGGTGGCGAGTGGTGGTGAGTGGTGGTGAGTGGCGACGAGTGGTGGTGAGTGGTGGCGAGTGGTGGTGAGTGGTGGTGAGTGGAGGCGAGTGGTGGTGAGTGGTGGTGAGTGGTGGTGAGTGGTGGTGAGTGGTGGTGAGTGATGGTGAGTGGTGGCGAGTGGTGGCGAGTGGTGGCGAGTGGTGGTGAGTGGTGGCGAGTGGTGGCGAGTGGCGGTGAGTGGTGGTGAGTGGTGGCGAGTGGCGGTGAGTGGTGGTGAGTGGTGGTGAGTGGTGGTGAGTGGCGGTGAGTGGTGGTGAGTGGTGGCGAGTGGCGGTGAGTGGTGGTGAGTGGTGGTGAGTGGTGGTGAGTGGTGGTGAGTGGTGGTGAGTGGCGGTGAGTGGTGGCGAGTGGCGGTGAGTGGTGGTGAGTGGTGGTGAGTGGTGGTGAGTGGCGGCGAGTGGCGGTGAGTGGTGGTGAGTGGTGGTGAGTGGCGGTGAGTGGTGGTGAGTGGTGGCGAGTGGCGGCGAGTGGTGGTGAGTGGTGGTGAGTGGTGGTGAGTGGTGGTGAGTGGTGGTGAGTGGTGGCGAGTGGCGGTGAGTGGTGGTGAGTGGTGGTGAGTGGTGGCGAGTGGTGGTGAGTGGTGGCGAGTGGTGGCGAGTGGTGGTGAGTGGTGGCGAGTGGCGGTGAGTGGTGGTGAGTGGTGGCGAGTGGTGGTGAGTGGTGGTGAGTGGTGGTGAGTGGTGGTGAGTGGTGGTGAGTGGTGGTGAGTGGTGGTGAGTGGTGGTGAGTGGTGGTGAGTGGTGGCGAGTGGTGGTGAGTGATGGCGAGTGGTGGCGAGTGATGGTGAGTGGTGGTGAGTGATGGTGAGTGGTGGTGAGTGGTGGTGAGTGGTGGCGAGTGGTGGCGAGTGATGGTGAGTGGTGGTGAGTGGTGGTGAGTGGTGGCGAGTGGCGGTGAGTGGTGGTGAGTGGTGGCGAGTGGTGGCGAGTGGTGGTGAGTGGTGGTGAGTGGTGGTGAGTGATGGTGAGTGACGGTGAGTGGTGGCGAGTGGTGGTGAGTGGTGGTGATTGGTGGCGAGTGGTGGTGAGTGGTGGTGAGTGATGGTGAGTGGTGGTGAGTGGTGGTGAGTGATGGTGAGTGGTGGTGAGTGGTGGTGAGTGATGGTGAGTGATGGTGAGTGGTGGTGAGTGATGGTGAGTGGTGGTGAGTGATGGTGAGTGGTGGTGAGTGGTGGTGAGTGATGGTGAGTGGTGGTGAGTGATGGTGAGTGATGGTGAGTGATGGTGAGTGGTGGTGAGTGGTGGTGAGTGATGGTGACTGGTGGTGAGTGATGGTGAGTGATGGTGAGTGGTGGTGAGTGATGGTGAGTGGTGGTGAGTGATGGTGAGTGGTGGTGAGTGATGGTGAGTGGTGGTGAGTGATGGTGAGTGATGGTGAGTGGTGGTGAGTGGTGGCGAGTGGCGGCACACCTGCGCGGCGCGCCACGCCGTGGGCAGCCACCCGGTGGTGGCGAAGGGCACGGCCTCGGAGACGCTGTAGCCGCAGGAGACGTTGGCCGTGCAGGCGCCGGGGAAGACCACGAGGAACTCGCCGCTGCGCTGGACGGCGCGGTGCACGCGCACGCCGGCGCGGCGCAGCGCCTCTGGGGAGACCTGCCAGGGCCCTCGTCGTGAGACACGCGGCACCCACCCCCCCCCAACAACCATCACCACCCCCCCCCACCCACCCCCCCCCCCCCCCCCCCCCCCGAGTCCCGCCGACAAACCCCGACACACCGGAACCAGAAGCCGTGACCGGGAGCGACGTGCGCACTCACGATGTTCTGCTGCAGCAACTCGAGCGCCGGCTTCCCGTTGGCCGGTGACAGCGAGAGCACCGCTCTCTCCAGCGCCTCCTGCTGCCCCGCCGGGATGCTGTACCTGCAGCCCACGGCACAGCGCGGCACGCCGTCGCAAAACCTCCGGCATTCTCGCTGCGAGTGCGGCCATCGCACCGCAGCCATCGAACCTCGCCCCTCTCACCACACTCCTCGCCCAGCTCTCACCCCCTGCATCATGGAGGACGACTCACCATATTTTGTCGGCGCCCGTGTGCAGGAAGTCGATGGAGGGGAGGAGGTGGGGGTCCTGGGCCCACGACGAGGTGGAGTAGATCATGCCGATGTTCAGCCATGGCACAGTCACTCCTGCACGCAAATGCACGGGCAAAGGTGCCCCGTGTAGCCACACGCTGCTGAGGCAAGTGCTGTTAGCGAGCACCTATTAAGCACGGGCCTAGGTGCCCAAAATGTGTAGCGACCAGCAACAAATAGCACTAATGCAGAAGTTGTGACAGGAAGAGTGAATGGGCTTTGTGGAGCGAGTGTGGTGATTGTCGAAAGACCTCGGGGGGGAACGGGACGATGGTGGTGGTGACGAGATGGTGAGTGGTGATGATGATGGTGAGTGGTGATGATGGTGAGTGGGTGAGGAGATGGTGAGTGGTGATGATGATGGCGAGTGGTGATGATGGTGAGTGGGTGAGGAGATGGTGAGTGGTGATGATGATGGCGAGTGGTGATGATGGTGAGTGGTGATGATGATGGTGGTGATGATGGTGGTGAGTGGTGATGATGGTGAGTGGGTGAGGAGATGGTGAGTGGTGACGAGATGGTGAGTGGTGACGAGATGGTGAGTGGTGATGATGGTGAGTGGGTGAGGAGATGGTGAGTGGTGATGATGATGGTGAGTGGTGGTGATGGTGAGTGGGTGAGGAGATGGTGAGTGGTGATGATGATGGCGAGTTGTGATGATGGTGAGTGGGTGAGGAGATGGTGAGTGGTGATGATGATGGCGAGTGGTGGTGATGGTGAGTGGTGATAATGATGGTGGTGATGATGGTGAGTGGGTGAGGAGATGGTGAGTGGTGATGATGATGGTGAGTGGTGATGATGGTGAGTGGGTGAGGAGATGGTGATTGGTGATGAGATGGCGAGTGGTGATGATGGTGAGTGGGTGAGGAGATGGTGATTGGTGATGAGATGGTGAGTGGTGGTGATGGTGAGTGGGTGAGGAGATGGTGAGTGGTGATGATGATGGCGAGTGGTGGTGATGGTGAGTGGGTGAGGAGATGGTGAGTGGTGATGATGATGGCGAGTGGTGGTGATGGTGTGTGGGTGAGGAGATGGTGAGTGGTGATGATGATGGTGAGTGGTGGTGATGGTGAGTGGGTGAGGAGATGGTGAGTGGTGACGAGATGGTGAGTGATGATGATGGTGAGTGGGTGAGGAGATGGTGAGTGGTGATGATGATGGCGAGTGGTGATGATGGTGAGTGGTGATGATGATGGTGAGTGGTGGTGATGGTGAGTGGGTGAGGAGATGGTGAGTGGTGACGAGATGGTGAGTGATGATGATGGTGAGTGGGTGAGGAGATGGTGAGTGGTGATGATGATGGCGAGTGGTGATGATGGTGAGTGGTGATGATGATGGTGAGTGGTGGTGATGGTGAGTGGGTGAGGAGATGGTGAGTGGTGATGATGGTGGTGAGTGGTGATGATGGTGAGTGGGTGAGGAGATGGTGAGTGGTGATGATGATGGTGAGTGGTGGTGATGGTGAGTGGGTGAGGAGATGGTGAGTGGTGATGATGATGGTGAGTGGTGGTGATGGTGAGTGGGTGAGGAGATGGTGAGTGGTGATGATGGTGGTGAGTGGTGATGATGGTGAGTGGGTGAGGAGTGCAGCAGTGCAAGGGAAGAGAAGCGATGTGACCTGCAGTGTGGCGAGTGGACGGGTGAGCGAGTGCGGGTGAGCGAGAGGGTGAGTGTGTCGTGGTGACACTGCAGTGTGGTGAGTGGGCGGGTGAGCGAGAGGGTGAGTGTGTCGTGGTGACACTGCAGTGTGGTGAGTGGGCGGGTGAGCGAGAGGGTGAGTGTGTCGTGGTGACACTGCAGTGTGGTGAGTGGGCGGGTGAGCGAGAGGGTGAGTGTGTCGTGGTGACACTGCAGTGTGGTGAGTGGGCGGGTGAGCGAGAGGGTGAGTGTCGTGGTGATACTGCAGTGTGGTGAGTGGGCGGGTGAGCGAGAGGGTGAGTGTGTCGTGGTGACACTGCAGTGTGGTGAGTGGGCGGGTGAGCGAGAGGGTGAGTGTGTCGTGGTGACACTGCAGTGTGGTGAGTGGGCGGGTGAGCGAGAGGGTGTGTCGTGGTGGTTGTAAAGAAGCCATATCACCAGCCGCCTCTGCCCAAATAGTCCACACTGAGCCCAGCCAATCGGAGGGCTCTGGCGCTAGCGCGGGCTCGCCACCAGGGGGCGGCCGGGACCCACACCACCCCGCCGCCGCTCACGGCACAGTCGCGTTCTCGTCGACAAGGCCAACGACGATGTTGGGTCACCTTCAATGGCGCAGCTATCGAGTACGCAGGGGGTGCAACTGCACCGGGCCCCTCGGGATATGTAGAGGGGTGGGGGGCAGGGGGGAGACATTGGACGAGGGCCAATCCCCTCCGATTCATCCCGTGCACCAGGGCCCACAGCGGCCTCGCGGGGTTGGGAGGCGATCAAAGTAACGCTGGTGACGAGTGGTGATGATGAGCGATGATGAATCTAAGACGACGATGACGTCGATGACGTACCAGACACGGTGCCCAGGTGACGCAGCACCGAGGCCGGGTTGCTGGGGAGAACAGTCAAGTTCCAGCCGTGCCTGACGACGCACAGCGACGCAGCACCACCACCATTATCATCAATCAGCACCGCCAACAGCACCACCAACGTCATCAGAAACTTCAGGAATATCACCATCACTACGACCATAATCGGCACCACCACAATCATAATCACCACAACCACCAAAACCATAATCACCACCACCACTCACCTGGAGAAAGAATCCGATTTGGAGACTGGAAATCCACTCCCAGAAGTCTTTGTGTCGACCTTCCCACAGTGCACTGCGACGTGCGCATCGCGTTCCTCCACGAGCTGCCAGAACCGTTGCTGCAACGCCACCACACAAATAAAGCACCACGCTCAGCTGCCTTGTTCTCCCGAGTGGCAATGTTTACACACCGCACCCATACACCTCAACCCCTTTTTTCAGTGCCCTACCTTATTACAGACCAATTCAGACCTTATTGGGCACCCTGCGACCTTATAAATCTCAACGTTCATCCTCCAAAGTCCCATCACAAGGGAGAAACACAAACAAATAGACAATTTAAAAAAAAATTGTATCCGTATTGAAACGGCTGTACGCCGTATAGACCTGAAAACTCAATTCCCCCATGCAAGAATATGGGTAAACCATATGGGTTCATAGAGGCATGCGCACCGTGTACTCATTTAAGGCTGAGTAAATCTAGGGGAGGCCCCAGGTTGGTTCAGATGTCTGCCGCTGATGTTGCTGCGAGCGGAAATCATACTCGGGTCGCCGGGTTCGTAGCGCGGTGCGCTAACCACTGCGTCACCACTCCCCCGCCACATATGTGTGCACACCCACCCACACACTGCCCAGAAATAGTAGCTACGTTTAGTTCAAAGACAGCCAATGGATCGTAGCTCTCTATGTGAGTCCATGGCTCTCTGTGCGAGTTTATTGGTGCCTGTGTGTCCATGGGTCTGGGTCTGTGTCCATGGATCTGGGCGTGAGTCTGCAGATGTCTGTGCGAGTCTATGGGTCTCTGTGCGAGTCTACGGGTCTCTGTGTGAGTCTATGGGTCTCTGAGCTGGGGAGGGAGAACACAGCGGCACTCTGACTCGTCGCCCCGCTCCTGCAGACCCTACGGTGCCCCCTCCCCCCCTTCCTCTCCCCCCTCCCCCTAACTCCCTGCCTCCTTCTCTGCCTTCCTGCCTCTGCTCCTACCATTCCCCCACCCTCCTTCCATCATGAGTCTTTAGTTTTCTGTGTGAGTCTATACATCTATGTGTGAGTCTATACATCTATGTGTGAGTCTATACATCTATGTGTGAGTCTATAGGTCTATGGGTCTCTGCGCGGGTCTATGGGTCTCTGCGCGAGTCTACGGGTCTCTGCGCGGGTCTACGGGTCTCTGCGCGAGTCTACGGGTCTCTGCGCGAGTCTACGGGTCTCTGCGCGAGTCTACGGGTTTCTGCGCGAGTCTACGGGTCTCTGCGTGAGTCTATGGGTCTCTGCGTGAGTCTACGGGTCTCTGCGCGAGTCTACGGGTCTCTTTGCGAGTCTACGGGTCTCTGTGTGAGTCTACGGGTCTCTGCGCGAGTCTACGGGTCTCTGCGCGAGTCTACGGGTCTCTGCGTTAGTCTATGGGTCTCTGCGTGAGTCTACAGGTCTCTGTGTGAGTCTACGGGTCTCTGCGTGAGTCTACGGGTCTCTGTGTGAGTCTACGTGTCTCTGCGCGAGTCTACGGGTCTCTGCGTTAGTCTATGGGTCTCTGCGTGAGTCTACAGGTCTCTGTGTGAGTCTACGGGTCTCTGCGTGAGTCTACGGGTCTCTGCGTGAGTCTACGGGTCTCTGCGTGAGTCTACGGGTCTCTGTGTGAGTCTACGGGTCTCTGCGTCAGTCTACGGGTCTCTGTGTGAGTCTACGGGTCTCTGCGTGAGTCTACAGGTCTCTGTGTGAGTCTACGGGTCTCTGCGTGAGTCTACGGGTCTCTGCGCGAGTCTACGAGTCTCTGCGTTAGTCTATGGGTCTCTGTGTGAGTCTACGGGTCTCTGCGTGAGTCTACGGGTCTCTGCGCGAGTCTACGGGTCTCTGCGCGAGTCTACGGGTCTCTGCGCGAGTCTACGGGTCTCTGCGCGAGTCTACGGGTCTCTGCGCGAGTCTACGGGTCTCTGCGCGAGTCTACGGGTCTCTGCGCGAGTCTACGGGTCTCTGCGTGAGTCTACGGATCTCTGCGTGAGTCTACGGGTCTCTGCGTGAGTCTACGGGTCTCTGCGCAAGTCTACGGGTCTCTGCGCGAGTCTACGGGTCTCTGCGTGAGTCTACGGGTCTCTGCGTGAGTCTATGGGTCTCTGCGTGAGTCTATGGGTCTCTGTGTGAGTCTATGGCTCGCTGTGTGAGTCTAGGAATAAAAGCACTGAGTGCATAACAGCAGGGAGTCATCATTTTGGCAACAGCAAAAATTAAATAAATTTTCATTTTCCACTGAGTGGGAATGACCGGCCAACTCTTCCTCTCTGGCACGAACCAACGACCTGGGTCACGGAGTCTCAAATTTAATTTTGCGCAGCACCGGGAAGAGAACGGAGAAATAACAACATCCAAAACCACAACACCGCCCCGACACAGGCGACCCACCAGCCAACCGCGCCGGCCAACTCGCCGCTCGCACGTCAGCATCGGCTCGCATCATTGGCTGGTGCAGTGCCGCACCCCCCGCCCGGCCCCCTCCCCCCCAGTCTGGGCACGGCGCCAGCCTTCACCACCCATCCCCACCCCCCCACAAACGCAGAAGTGATGAAACGCGCAACGGCACAGGATTAATCGCGCCAGTTCCGAGCCGGTGCTCGCCAACCGAGGGGGAGGGGAATGCCGCGCACGCCAGCGGCTGCCGGGTCGCAGTGCCCCAAGCCCCGACAAATTCACAAATTCCACCCCCTCACCGCCTACTCCGAGCTGCACGCTCCGGGGGCCGAGAGAGTGCCGCTATTCGAAGCCGGTGTCAGCAATGCCGCCGGTGCCGTCACTCGTATCACCGCCGACGGTGCTCGCGTCAACGGCAGCGTTAATGACAACGGCGCCGCTTCTGCCGGCGTTTCCTCACCTCGACCTCGCAGGCAGCAGGCTCCTCAGTGCTGAAGCACATGGCGACGGTGTTGCGCGCCATGCGGTAGAACGCCGTCAGAGTCACCGACTTCCCCTGGAGGAGCACAGAGGGAGAGCGGTGTTCACTCCGTGCCCACCGGCGTTGCGAGCCGCACTCTATCCGCTACTGGATCGAGCGCCCCCTTCCCAGGCCGCGCCCGCCACCGCTCACAATCCCACGGTGCCCACGGTGCCGCGTGGGCAGATTCCGCTGCGTGTCACTCCTGCCACCCGATGTTTACACTTCGGGTTCGACGCTCGGAGCCTCATCACCGCGACGGCCGCACGGTCCCCGTTGTTTACTCTACTGCTTGTAATCTCTATGACAACAGAAATCACGATTCTTGCGCTGTGCGCAACTCGCTGTTGTCGTTCTACGGTGTTTATCCAGGAAAGCCTTGCTGCTACTGCTGCTGCTGCTGTGTGATATCAACCGAGTGACTTGCAAGTAAATTTGTCAGCAATTGGGATGTGAGTTTGGCTGATGTCAGTTCCACTGTGGGTGTGGGTTTAGCTATGGGAGAAGGAAACCAGACAACCCAGAGGAATCCCGCGTAGCGTAGCGGTTAGCACGCTGCACTGTGAACCCGGCGACCTGAGTTCGATTCCTGCTCACGGCCCACACCAGTGGCGATTATCTGAATCGGTCCTGGGCCTTCCCTAGGTCGACTCAGCCTCAAATGAGTACCTGGTGCAGTATATATATATCACCACTGGGGAGACAAAGGTGGCTGGGCGTGGTGCTAGCAACCCACTCCCTCATGTGCCGTGCCGGCCTTCATAGGTGCTCGCTAACAGCACTTACCTCAACAGTCCGTTAAGGCTATACAGGGGATCTTTGGTAAGGTGGATGGTGATGTGGGTGGCGAGGTGGGTGGTGAAGATGACGGCACCTTGAGCACACAGTCTTGCAGGCCGTGCAGGAATGCCGCCTCCCCGCCTGGCATCGTCTCCTCGCCTCTGCCGGTGTCCACGCTGCGCCTCCGTGTGCTGCTGGTGGTGCTGCTGCTGGTGCTGCTGGCGGTGCTGCTGGCGGTGGTGCTGGCGGTGCCGTTGACGCTGACAGAAGGGGAGGAGGTGTTGAGGCCGGTGTCGCCGTCACCGCCGCCGTGGCCAGCCTGGTGTCCCCGCGAGCGAGCGCCGGCTGCTGCCGCTGCGGTAGCGCCGCGGCGTAGCGCCGCGCCGTTGATGTGGCCATTGCGCAGTTCAGCGATCGGTTTCCCGGCCGAACGACCTCTCCTCCACGGCCCGGGCGCCGGCTGCTGCTGGTTCTGCAGATGATACCGGCACCAACTGGTCAGCAGGGAATGGCGTTTTGCCCATTAAACTGACCAATCGTTGCGTTGTGATTGTTTAAAAATGTTCATTACTTTCTTCGCTATTTTATTCCGCCACTGCAGTCACCATCGCTGCCACCTGCTGCTCCGCACCGCCACCAGCGCAACGCATCACTGTCTCACAGCAACGCCGGCGCCACTCCAACTACCACCTCCACAATCACTACCACCACTGCCTCCTTTGTGACCACCACCACCACAAGCACCCCAACCACGACCACCTCCACAATCACGACCACCACCACCTCCACAATCACCACCACTACCTTCTTTGTGACCACCACCACCACAACCACCACCAAGACCACCACCACCACAACCACCACCAAGACCACCACCTCGCTTGATGGCGCTTCTCCCTCCCCCGCTCACCGCGGCGGCTGCTGCGCCCTCCTCCTCCTGCTGCTCCTGCTCCAGGCGCCGCTTCTCCGCCAGCACGTCGCGCAGCAGCTGCTGTCGGTCGGCGGGCGCCAGGCAATCGTACGCCAGCAGGTACTTGCAGTAGGCCTCCTGCAACTTGGCGAGGCGGTCCTGGGCGCCGCGCGGTACGCGCAGCTGGTCCGCCAGGCGGCTCCACGGACGCGTGCCCACCACGCGGTGCACGCCGCCCATCCCGCCCATCAGCTGGGAGAAGCGCGCCAGGTCCAGCTCACAGCCACCTGCGGGGGGGCGGGGAGGGATTGGTGAGGAGGGGGAGGGAGGGGAGATGAGAGGGAGAGGAGGTGAAGCGAGGAGCGAGGGGAGCAAGGGGAGGGGAGGGAAGAGAGGGAGGGCGGAGAGGAGGAGAGGAGAGGGACGGAGAGGGGGGGAGGGAGGGATTGGGGAGGGGGGAGCACCTATGAAAGCCGGAATGGCACACAAGGGGATGGATGGCCAACAGCACACCCGGACACACAAAGACACGCACACACACACACACGCACGTGCGTGCATGCATGCCGGTCGACAAGCCAGTCCTTTTACGGAGCCACTGTTTCGTTGAGGGCCATGACGCAGCCCTGCGATAGAGAATTTTCTGCTCGTTGCAGAAGTTTGTGGTTCCAACCCGGCAGGGCACGCTAGCGAACACTGCGGAGTAGAACCCATTCAATACTCAGGACCGTCCACTTCAGACCGGATATTAAAGATCCCGTGGCAATATTCGAGAAGCATGGCCCATTGTGTGCTGGTATTATAGTCAAAGTTGTAAATTACACCGCAAAATTGCTCAAATGGGATTTACAGAGCAAAAATCACCCCCCTACTGTGAAACACTGCGGCGCCTTCCTTCGTGATAGCCTTGCGCTGTGGGGGCGATAGCTAAATTTTCAATTATTATCATTATTAGGAGCTTCAGCTGTTACACAGCGCTGTGTGCACAGAAATACAAAGATCCCCTGTATAGCCTTGACTGTTCGGGCAAGTGCTGTTTTGCGAGCTTGTCTCCCGAGGGGTGATGTTTAACACACCGCAAAAGGTACGACTCATTTAAGGTCGAGTTGACCTACAGAAGACCGAGGACCGGTTTAAATATCCGCCACCGGTGTTGGTCGTGACTCGAATTGAATTCGGGTCGACGGTAGTGCAGCGGCCTCACCGCTGTACCACCGCTCCCTCCCCCCACACGCACACAGGCACTAGCGGCCACTACCACTGGCCGCGAGTGTCACACCACCGACTGTGCCAGCTCCTCCCTGTACCAATCCAGAGACATCATCACGGGCGCCACGACGGGAGTTGCTTCGAGTTTGCGAGCGTGTCTGTCCATGGGTGTGCGCACTCGTCTGTGTGTGCGGGGAGAAGGTAATGGGTTGGGGGGGGTGAGAGGTGGTGATTGGGGGGGTTGTGGTTGCGAGGGTAAGGACCGCGGCTCCCCGGGATGCGTCAATTGCTGACCACCAGGGACCGGCGGAACTGTGAGAACGGAACTGGTCGAGCCGGAGCGTCGCGGAGGAGGATTGGGCACTCGACTCCATCAGTCCTAAACCACAGAGCCCTAGCCCTGGCCCGAACCCTACTCTGGCCCGAGCTCTAGCTCTAACCCTGGTCCCAGCCCTAGCCCTAACCCTTAATCCTGGCCCTAGCTCTAACTATGGCCCTAACTCTAAATCCTGGCCCTAGCCCTGGCCCTAACCTTCAGGCCTGGCCCGAACCCATAGGCCTGGCACTGCCCCTTAGGCCTAGCTCTAACCCTTAGGCCTGGCTCTTAATCCTTCGGCCTGGCTCTAAACCCTCGTCCTGGAAATAAACCTTAGGCCTAGCTCTAACCCTAGCCCTGGCTTCTAACCCATAGACCTGGCTCTAACCTTGGCCCTGGCTCTAACCCTAAGCCCTGGCTCTAATCTGTAGTCTGGCCCCTAACCCTGACAAATTCACAGAGAGTACCCTAGTACTTGCGTTCACCCTGCCCCTAGCGCTATCCTTTAAACCAAATCCACAGCTCAAATTACACGCCCAATTCCAACCACAAATACAGCCATAACCCAAACTCAACAGCAGCAACCTTCAGGCTAGCCTGAGCCCAGCCCTAAGCCTAAACCCTACAATGAAAGCAGTACTATCACGATAACTATTCTACCGATAAACTCTAGCACACAGCAATGCGTCGGGTATCACCACCTCCCCACCACCGCCCCTGAAGAAATAAATATTTTCTGTTAATCGGTTAATCCTGGGTGTGGTGTGCTGTAGATGGCGACGCAGACATGAGTGCACGCACGCACAGACAAGACAGAGTTTCCCCGTATAGCCTTAACAGACTGTAGAGGCAAGTGCTGTTAGCGAGCACCTATGAAGGCTGGAACGGTACACGAGGGGGTGGGTGGCCAGCACCACGCCCGACCGCCTTTGTCTCCCCAGTGGCAATGTATACACACCGTACCCAGGTACTCATTTGTGGCTGAGTCGACCTAGAGGAGGCCCTGGACCGGTTCAGATAATCGTCACCGGTGTTGGCCGTGAGCGGGAATCGAACCCGGGTCGCTTGGGCTCATAGCGGAGCGCGCTAACCGCTACACTACCGCTCCCCATAAGGCATACACACACGTACGCACACACTGATACGCACAGTACACCAACACCACACACACGGGTACCGACAACGACCTAAGGGGGGTGGGTGAGGGGTGGGGGGACATCAGTGACGCTATCATGACGTTAGTGTGTCTGCGTCGTGTCTGTGTCGTGTCTATGTCGTGACGCTATCGTGATTCAAGGGCCTTTGGGCCTACGCTCAAGTCATCTCAGTACTGGTGCAATGTGTAAACATCAACACGTGGGAAACAGAGGCAGCCGGGCATGGTGGTGCTGGCCACCCACCCCCTCTGTTAAGGCTACACGGGGGATCTTTGGGCCTGTGCTCAGCAACTCTTTTAAAAAAACAGCCACGAGTGTAAGCACAAGAGAGAGTGGGGGAGAGAGAGAGTAAAGGAGAGAGAGGGAGAAAAAGGGAGCGAGAGGGTAAGGGAGAGTGTGAGGGAGAGAGGGAGGTGGATTTGCGTGGATGGAACGCAGCCTGAGAGCAGCAGCAGCAGGAGGAGGAGGTGGGGGGGCGGCCGCACGGACATCCCGCTGGGACGACGCGGGGTGAAAGGTTAAATCCCGCGGCACGCACGCACGAACGAAACCACGTCCAGTCGCAGTCGGCAGCGACTCCCAAACACGACGTAGCCGCTCCACGTCCCCCCTCTCCCTCACGGGCAGAGAGGGGGAGGGAGAGAGGGAGACGGCATCGCCATCCACCGTCAAATGACTCCGAGTGGCAGGCGCAGAGAGTCGCTCGCGCGGCGCTGCTGGCTGGGCACGCGCCTTTCCACTCCCTCCCACAACGCAGTGGCGCTCATTTGATTGACCCCGCAGGGAGGGATGATGCATTGAGACAACACCCCACACCCACCCCCCACCACTCGTCACCGACCAAGATTTTAACTCGCGAGCTGTAGATTGTGAGCTGCCCGCTCTCCCACCTGACCGGATCTGCTGCCGCTGCTGCCAATGGCATCGTGGTTGGTACCGGATTTGCTGACGACAGGTACCAATGGTGTCAAGATCGGTCTCTGTGGAGGAGGAGGCTCGTGAATGACGCGACTGGGCAATTGGAGGCAGTCGCCCTCCAGCAACAGCGAAGGGCAAAGGAGCGATGCTCACAACAACGAGCGGAGCGCCGGGCGGATAAAGTGAGTAAATTTGCGCAGTAGGGGGCACAGGTGGTGCATCTGCCAGTCATCTCAGTCAGGCAACCCGTGTCACCTGGGTCTGTCTCATGGCCTGCCAGCAGTGAGCCTTCGACACTTCACGCAATGGCCTCAAAGTGCACCTAGCCTGGCACAAGCGCCGTGGAGACGTCACCGCCACTTAGTGGTGAATGGTGGCTGTTGTAGTTGCGAATGTGTGCGTGCACGCGGGCGAGCGAGGGAGGGGAGAGGAGGTGTGAAGAGCCGAGAGAAAAAAAATCCGCGCACGTGACCGCACGGCTGTCAAAACAACGGTGACGTAACATCGCTCACCGCAGGTGCAGCAGTAGCAGCAACTCACGCTACCTGCCCTGGGGCATCGGCAGTGGGGGGGGCACGGTGGGGGGGAGCCGGAGAGGGGGTAACTAACAATTCACCCCCCCCTCCCCCCAAATGGGTATTATGTAGATAGCATGGAGCTACAGCACGGTCACTGTATGTAGATAAAAATATAGACCTAACCCATCATCCCTTGGGGTCAATAAAATACGTACGACTTTGCTGGGGAAGGAAGTCAACAATGATGGAGAAACTCACCCCAGCCATGGGAATAAGGAATGTCCACCACTTGCTCAGGGATGTAGACAAGAGCTATGTAATAGGTGCAACAGACTGCTGGGGCTCGTGCTGTGAGCGAGTTGCACATTTAAAGGACGGCACGGGACCTGAAGGGGTGGGCGGCCAACCCCACACCCGACCGTCTTTGTCTCCCTGGTGGCGTTGTTTACACATCGCACCAGCTACTCATTTGAGGCTAAGAGAGGCCCAGGACTGGTTCAGCTCGAGTTCGGGCATCGAACTTGAGTTGCCGGGTTTGCAGCACAGCAATAACCACTTTGCCACCGCTCCCCACATACACAGGCATACAATACACACTCGCTCGCTCACCACACACTCATGCAAACTACGCTGGCTTGCGCTTGTTACCGATGACAGGCGGCTCATGCAGCGCGATGCCCTGTGCCAGGAGGTGCTTGCGGATGCAGGCGAGGCGCTGAGCGTTGGGGCCCCAGCGCCGGCCCAGCTTGTGCACGTGCTGCACGCGCGTCACGAAGCGCATGTCCTCGTGCAACTTGCACTCGGGACGCCAGTCGGCGGGAGGCACCACGCGGCACGCGCCGAATGCCTCCGCGTGCCCGCGCACGCTCTCCACGTACGCCACGGGGTCCTGGAACTCCCGGCTGCTCGGGCGCAGCGTGGGGATCTCGGAGAGGTCTGATGGCGGGGCAGCCGGCGGCACTGCCGACCGCGCCGATCTGCTGCCCGGCGAATCGGCCGAGGCCCTGGTCCTGCCGCAGGCCGGGGCGGACGGTTGCGGCGGCGCGGGAGCGGCCGGTCTCGCTCCGCCGGTTTCCCCGGCGCCCGGCTCGTCTTCGGCCGCCGTTTCTGCGCAGCCGGCGCCGCCTGCCGTTGCGCCGGGCGGTTCTGCGGTCGTGGGCTTCGCCCTCTTGTTGTTGTCGTTGCCATTATTGTTTTTTGGCTTCTCGCTCCGAGCGAGACAGGCAGTCGTCGTGGTCCCTAGCCGTGGCCGGACGATCTCGGCTGCATTGCCGTTCGCACCGTGCGTCGCTGCCTCCGCCCCGTCCCGCTCGCTCCGCGCCCTCGGCCTCTCCACCGGCGTCTTCACCAGCGTCACGGTCACCGTCGTTGTCGTCGCTGCCGCCGCCGCCGGCTTCTCGTCGTGGTCTCCGTTGGCCGCCCGCCGGACAGAGCTCGACCGCAGCGCTGGTCCCGCGCTGGCCCCGCGGTCGCCGCCGTCGTTTCTCGCCCTCTCTGCTTCCGCCGCCCTCTCCGCCGCCATCGCCTTCCTGTGCAGCTGCTCGCTCACCGAGCGCGTCAGCTTTGCCTCCCCCGCGGTGGGGCGTGAATGGCGCCGCGCCACCGCCGTCCCTGCAGCCTGCGCTCCCCTCGCCGGCCTTCGCTCCCCGTCGTCCCCGCTCCGTCCGAGCAACCTTACGGCCGCTCCCTTTCTCAGACAGCCGTTAATTTTTGTGGCGTAGCTGGTCTCGCCGCTCCGCTTCCCGGCGAGAGACGGCGATGGCGCCGGCGGCGCCGGCTGCGTACGCGAGATGATGCGGCCGCCGGACTTTCCGGCTGCGTCGGATCCGGTCGCCCCGAGCTTCGGCGTTGCACTGTCTGCGCCGCCCAACTTTTCTGCGCGGCTGGCGCCGTGCGCCAGCAGCCCATTGACTTGCAGCGTCGGTCGGCACGAACTGCGGCTGCCGTTCTGCTGTCGCGTGACTGGTGCGTCAGCGTGGCCCTGGCGAGGGGGCGGCCGTGGGGAAGAGCCGCTCCGTAGTGCGGCGCCATCACCGCCATCACCGCCGCCATCATCGCCGGCGCTGCTTCCGCCGTTGCTGGCGCTGCGGAGGGAGTGGCGCCGGCCCTTAGCACAGTAAACGTGGCCGTTGCGGATGGTGACGGCGCAGCGCGAAGACCGTGGCTGCATGCGGGCGTCCGCCACGGCGCGCGCCGCCGCTGCCGCCGCAGCCCGGACCTTGCCGGCCGAGTTGGCGCATGGAGAATCGTTCGGGAGTTTAGAATCCTGCGGGAGGAGGGTAAAGATGGGGGAGGAGGAGAATTTATCATAATCGATCATAATAAGCGAGTACACGTGGTAGTGGTGCTGCTGTTCCTGCAGCGCAGGGTGATCGTCAGCGAGTGGAGGGCGATGTTCCCCTCGAGTAACCCCGGTAACTTGTGGTGTAATTTTTTATGCCGGCAAACGATGGCCGACCATTCTCTTCAAATGATGTCATGGGGATCTTTATCGTCCCCTGAGAGCGGAGCAGAAGGCACGCGGTGTTTTACGGTCGGAACGTGCGCCACCGCGGTGTTAACCAGGGCGGCCTGCCAAATTGAGAACCGCAAAAAACTCTGCAGCGAGTAGCGCAGGCCACTGCCGGTGGCAGGGCCTCTTCTGGAGCCAACTCGAGAGGCCATTTGGTCTCTTTTTACCGCGTCTCGATCGGAGGCGTACCCACGATTGCCCCACAAGTGAACGGCTCACGCGGGCTCACGTGGGCAGTCCGCCGCCAGCGTGTGGAGCTGTGCCTGAGCGTGAACCGGGAGAGGCGATGAGAGCGGGGAATGAGAAGAGGTAGGAGGGGGTGGGGGGAGTAAGAGAGGAGAAGGGGAGGAGGAGCGGGGAGAGGAGGGTGGAATGAAGAGGCAGGATGAGGAGGGATGAGGAGGAGGCATTGTGTTTTGCTCCAGGGTGCCGAGGGGCACGCTTGCTGCTAATCCGCGACACCGCCACGGAGGAGGCCCGAGGCGGCGGCGTTGAGCCGGATTACCACGCCGGGACAACGCACCCCGGCACTCGGGCGATCGTGCCAACACGTGTGTGTGTGCGCGCGTCTTTCAGCGTGCGTGTCTGTGCATCCCTTGGTGCCGTTGTGTAAACATCGCCACTCAGGAGATAAAGGTGGCCGGGCGTGGTGCTGGCCATCCGCACCCTCGATGTGCCTGTGCTGGTCTTAATGCTACTCACTAACAGCACTTGCCCCAACAGTCTATTACAGGCTATACAGGGGACCTTTTTCTTGTGTTTATGTGCGTGCGTGTGTCAGTATGTGTGCGTTAGTGTGCGTGTGTGTCGGGGAGCGGTGGTGTAGTGGTTAGCACACTGCGTTACAAACCCGGCAACCAGAGTTCGATTCCCGCTCACGGCCAATACCAGTGGTGATATATCTGTGCCGGTAACGGTGTTGCTCAGTGCCAGCTGCGTAGCTGGTGCGGTGCGGCGACACGGCCGGTTCGTCCGCCTGTACCCAGCCAGGCGGGTCGCTTACAGACAAATGCGTGCACGTTTGTTTCGGCGAGTGTTGACGTGTCTACACGTGCGTGTGTGTTGGTGTCTGCAACGCTCTTTCTTCCGATGTTATGAAGCCACTGGAACCATACACTTTTAAATCATCAAGATTGAAAACCGAATGCAGTTTTGTAAAAAATTAGCAACCGGCACTAGCAGGTTCGTACCTTTGGTGCCAGCGCGGTGGCGGTGGTCGTGGTGACCGGGCGACGCTGGGCCAGCGAAGGGGGTGCCGGTCTGCCCACCACCACCACTACGGGCACAATCGCGGTGCCGCCAAGGCACTCCGGGAAGGGCCTTACAGTGCCAGCGCGCACCGCCACCGCCCTCCTCAGCCTCCGCTGCGCCTGCTGCTGCTGCTGCTGCTGCTGCTGCTGCGCCTGCTGCTGCTGCTGCTGCTGCTGCTGCTGCTGCTGCGCCTGCGGCTGCTGCTGCCGCTGCTGCTGCGCCTGCTGTGGTGGCCGGCACGGCCTGGTCGGCGTCGACCAAACTGGAAGAGAGAAAGCGAGAGAGGGAGACTCAAACACGATGATCATATTAAAAGATCCCCCGTATAACCTTAGCAGACTGTAGGGGCAAGCGCTGTTAGCGAATAGCACCTATGAAGGCTGGTACAGAACATGAGGAGATAGGTGGCCAACACCACGCCTGGCCGCCTTTGTCTCCCTACACATCGCACCAGGTACTCATTTGAGGCTGAGTCGACCTATGGGAGGCCCAGGACTGGTTCAGAAAATCGTCATTTGGTGTTGGCCGTGAGCGGGAATCTAAACCGGGTCGCCAGGTTCGTAACGCAGCACGCTAACTGCTACACTACCGCTCCCCACCACCACTCACTCGCACATTAACACTTCTCTCACACTCGCAAACACTCTGCTCTCTCTCATACACTCTTCTCTCTCTCTCAAACAGTCTTCTCGAACGTTCACACACTCACACTTTTTTCGCACACACACACTCTTCTCACAAACACTCACACTCTTCTCTCGCACACACACACACACTCGCACACACTCTCTCACTTACACACACACACATACTCACACACTCTTCTCTCACACACTCTCTAACTCGCACATACTCTTCTCTCAAACACACTCACACTCTCACTTACACACACACTCACACACACTTTCACTCGCACACACACACTCACATACACTCTTCTCTCACAATCATGCCCGCTCCCTTGCTTGGTGAATAATGCCCAGGCACTGATGCATCTCTCCACGCGGTGCACCGCTATTTTTGGGCCGGCTTCAAGCCTCAATGCGGGGGCGGCTTATCAGGTCAAAGGTCACCCTCCCTCACCGCGGGGGGCGACCCCGGTGCGGCCGAGCGTCTCCGCGCCCATTGTGCCGCTCGGCGGGTCCACAAAACCGCCGCGCATTTCTGGAGTGTGGGAAAAAATCTCGTCCATCCATTACGACGAACGAGGGTGGGTGGGGGGGTAGTGGTGGGCGGGCAGTTGTGGGGGGCACGGTTGGTGGGGTGGGGGGCAGCATTTGCTCTGCTTAGCCGATGGCGTGGACAGAATCGACACGATCGGAGTTCGCGATCAGCCTTTCCGGTGCCGAGGAGGTCCGGCTCGACCCTCCCGGGGAGGGGGGTTCCTCCGACTCTCCAGGCCTCGTCCCGACGACGCTCGGCGCGCTCCTTGGGCGCAACCGCCGGCATCTCGGTTTCCAACGAGTGACGCGGCGCCGTGAGCCAAAGCCCACGCACCGCGTGGCAACTCAACGTGCCTCTGCCGGGTGACGGAGGGGTTTCTGACGACGCGGACCGGGATCCCCGTCAAGTCGCGACGCTGGCAGGGAACACCGACAGCACCCCCGGGGGGCGCGGTGCCACGCGTCTCGTCTCACCGTGCCCGTTGCTGGCCGGGGGGTGCGTGCCGGGGCGGTTGCGACGAGGTGTGGACGGACACGATGAGGTGGGGGAGGCGGGGAGGGCCGACTCCTCCATCGCCATCGTCGTCGCTCCTCCACCTTCCCCGTCCACTGCCGCCGCCGCCACCGACGACGACGACGCCGCCGAGGAGGTGGAGGACGATGAGGAGGACGCCTCTTCAGCCGCCGTCTCCTCCTCTTCGTCCCACTCGTCGGAGGCCCTGCCGAACAGCTCCATGCTCCGGGGCAGGGCACGGGTGCCTGCGCCAACGCAACCCACACATGCACGCCGTCCATCGGCATCAACGGCAATGCTCTGCATCGAGCTGTCAAGACTCCTTTTCAGGAAAATCCTGCCGAGTTTTGACAACAGCGGAGCGATGCTGCTGCTGTGTGATCCCTACAGAGTACTTTTCCGGTGATTTCTGAGCACTGCGTTTGCCCAATACCGCTGCCACCGCGCGTGAGGGTTTAGTTCAGGCGTGGTGCTGGCCACCCACCCCCTCGTGTGCCGTGTCGGCGCTGCTCGCTAACAGCACTTGCTCCAACAGAATGAAAAAAGCTACGGGGGGAATATTTGTGGTATTAGCTTAGGGAGGAGGAAAGCTGAGGTTCGGGAAGAAACCCGCGCAACGTTCATCCTCCCCTAAGAATGCCAGCACGAGTCGGGAATCGAACCCAGGCGCTTCTGGCCGTGAGGAGCAAGTGTCACCACTGAGCCGCCCTGCGTTGCCCTGCACCACCCGCAAATAAAAAATGAAATCCACCCCAGGGGCTGAGGGCGACGCCACTTGTCTCGGAGGCAGATGTTGGGTTGCGGTTGCCCGGTAACTTCGCTGCCACAGACCCCCCTAGGGGGGGCCTGCGGGGGGGGGCCTGCGGGGGGGGGGCACAGGGCAAAGAGGTGCCCAGCGGCATTCACGAGAATAACAACAGTGCGGCGAGTGTGGAGGATGCCGAGCCGGGTGCGGTGAGGGTTGTGGCGATGGTGAGTGTTTCAGTGTGGGTGGGTGAGGCTTGTGGTGAGGGTTGTGGGTGAGGGTTGCTGCAGTGGTTTCGGTGAGCACCTCGAAGGCAGAGGAAGGTGAGGAAGTCCTCCGTCTTGGGCCGCTTGGGACACACATCCATCATGTGGCTGGCGGGGGCGGAGGGGGGCGGCTCGGGCGCCTTCACAGGAGTGCCGCCCGGGCTGCCCGGCTGAGACTGTGCAAACTTGCGCTGGGCCCGCAGTCTGGCACGCACAAAGACAAAAATCCCCCCCCCCCGCCCGTGTAGCTTCAACAGACTGTTGGGGTAAGTGCTGTTAGCGAGCAGCACCTATGAAGGCCAGAACGGCACCACGAGGGGGTGGGTGGCCAGCACCACGAACGGTGGCCCTTTGTCTCCCAAGTGATGTTTTCGCGTCGCACCAGGTACTCATTTGAGGCCGAGTCGACCTAGGGGAGGCCCAGGACCAGTTGCAATATTCGTCATTGCTGTTGGCCGTGAGCGGAAATCGAACTCGGGTCGCTGGGTTCGTAGCGCAGCGCGGTAACCACTGCGCCACCGCTCCCCACATACGCACATAACAACAACCGCCATTCGCCACTAAGTGGCGGTGGACGCCACCAGGGCGCTTGTGCCAGGCAATGTGCACGTTAAGGCCACGTAAAGTGTCGAACGCCCGCTGCCAGGAGGTCACGGAACAGACCCAGCAGGTGCCAGGGGTTGACCGTCCGAGATGACTGCAGATGCACCACCTGTGTCCCCTACTGTGCCAACCCGCTACATTTAATCTGCCTGGCGATCCACTCATTGCTTCGTCGCTCCTCTGCCCTCCGTTGTGTCTGGAGGGCGACTGCCTCTAACTGCCCAGAAGCGTCTTTCACGAACATCCTCCACAGAGGCCGATCTTGAATCTTGACACCGCTGGTACCAGTCGTTGGTATGTCCACTCAGCTTTGCATCCTTTTCTACCACAGTTCATCTCTTCTCTAGCCCATGCGAAGCCCGTTTAGCCCCCTATATCTTGCCAAACAGAAGCTGGTTGGGCATGTGGTGGCTGGGCATGCGGACCATATGACCCAGCCATATGCAGCCTTGCCTGCCAGAGGAGCTCAAGGATAATAGGACTGTGTCCAGATCTTTCAAGGATGTGTAAGATCCTTACACAATCCAGTGGTTAAACCCAAGATGGATCTTAGACAGTGCCAGGTGAATTGCTTCAAACCGGCGCAGATGTTTCTTCGAAGGCGTCCATGTTTCGCAAGCATAGAGAAGGGAGAGCCTAACTGTGGCCGAGAAGACCCAAAGCTTCGTATGGAGTGACAGTGGAGTGACAGGCCATATAGCTTCCACCCAGCATTACACAGGTGATGAAACGATAATGCTGCTCGACTAATTCAGTGAGACCTCTGCTGCCAAACCGACGCTGGCCATGAGCACAGTGCCGCATCATTCAGTTGAGGGGTTGAGTGTCATGGCAGATATACCCAGGCAGGTGCTTAGTTGTGGTGGGGCTGATGGTAAGGCCCCACACCTCTTAGTAGCACATTCCAGCTTCAGCAGCAGAGCCTCTCAAAGTGAGCAGTAATTACCAGATCATCAGCATACATCACATGGTTGACCAATAGGGATCCATCCCTTGACCGCACCCGGGCATCGATCAGCCTCATTTGTATTTATACCAGACGGAAATACCTCCGGTACAGGCATGAAAAGTGTCTAAGAAGATGATAAAATATGTATAAGCCAGAGGATATCCATGTTGCACCCCAAGGTAAAAGGAAATGGCTCTCCTTCCCAGCCAAGCAGCTTTATCCGGGCCTGCCCACCATAATGAAGGTCCTTAATGATTATAAGCAGAGGGTCAGGGACCCTGAAATCACAAATAAGAACTCAGAGCCCTGGCCTGTTGATGGTATCGTAGGCCTTGCACACACACACACACAAGCACACACACAAACACGTGAAGAAAAAGACAAAGACACCCCTGATATAAAGCTTTCGTGACTGCAGGGATTCATCTTCTTGTTTCTTTCGGTAAAGTCACGTAGAAGGGAAGTAATAAAATAATATTATTTTATTACTTCCCTTCTACGTGACTTTACCGAAAGAAACAAGAAGATGACACCCCTGATAGCTTTAACAGACTGTTGTTAGGGTAAGTGTTGAGGCTATTATTTAGTTAGCTAGTGTGATGAGGGTTAGTGTCTGGTTGGCTAGCTTGGTGAGCTAGCGGTCAGCCCACTGCCCTCTGCTCTCCCCCTTCCCCCTCCTCTTCCTCCGCCTGGTCTCCCACATCCTCATCACTCTCCCTCCTCCTCCCACCATCGCACTCACTTCTTGCGAAGATTTCCCTCCTCGCTTGCTGCCCCTGCCCCGGCGGTGGGGGCAGGGCTGCCCTCCCTGCCCTTGTCGCGCTTGCGTTTGCAGGGCAGGACTGCGGGGAGGCCGCTCCGAGTCAGTCTAGAGAGGGACCCGGCCTTCAACTGCGGCCCCTTTCCACGGCCTGTCAGAGACACAGACACCATTATCGCCATCATCAATCATCATCGCCATCGTTGACACGGTCCGGCGGCACGTGTAGCGGATGCATGCACGGGCGAGCAGAGAGCGTTTACCCATCGCGGTGTTGGCGGCGTGGGGGGCGCGCGTGGGCAGCGGGGGGGCGCTCCCCTTCTTGGCGCCCCTCTCGTCGCGAAGGGAGCGGTAGAGCGCCTTCTGGATGTAGCGCTCCTCCCACCACAGGATTCCATGGTTGTACTCCTGGCCAGGGTGAGGAGACGCAAGGCGTATTACCACACAGCGGCGACGCAATACAACCGTGGCACGCTATGACACGTTACTAAAGAGGACACCCCAATACAACGTGGCATACCATGATACGTTACTATACAATAGGTTAACATCTTACGATAGAAGACATAGAAATTAAATGCTCAAGATCAATGTCATCGTGGGCAAAACTGCCGATGCCGCCACCACCACCACACCACATCCTCCACCACCACACCTCCTCCACCACGAGCACCACACCTCCTCACTCTCAATGCTCCCCATCCTCCCCCTGACCCCACAGCTGCTGCAGGGACCTCCACGGTGAGCCCCGACGGTCTCCTCCTCCGTCTGGCCACGCGCTCTCTCGCTCTCTCGCGCTCACGTAGATTCAGCGCACATTAACGTGGTTAATGTCTAATTCCACTTGCCGTGCCAGATGATCGCTCAAGCATGGCGCGCTCCCTGTCCACGCGCCTCGTTAACAGCAAATTAATTAATCACCACCACTCTCTCGCGCAACGTGCGCGAGTGTGTGTGAGCATCGGTGCGCGCATGTGAGTGTGTGTAGGGGAGCCGCGCTTTGAACCTGCCGAACTGCTCACGGTCGATAACAGTGGTGCTGAATCGGTCCTGGGCCACCCTTAGGTAGACTCAGCCTCAAACAAGTGCCTGGCACGGTATGTAAACATCACCACTGGGGAGACAAGGGTGACCAGGGGCGGTGCTGGCCACCCATCCCCTCATTTGCCGTGCCGGCCTTCAGAGGTACAACTAGCTAAAGGCACTTGCCTTAACAGTCTGTTTGGCTACACAGGGGAATCTTTGTCTTTGGAGGGGAGTGGTATTGTAGTAGCGGTTCGTGCGCTATGAACCCAGCAACCCACAGCCACCACCAGCCGTTGTTGTCCGAACTGGTCTTTGGCATCGATGGCTGTCTTCTACTGACGAACCCTAGCGAGCATGAACACCGGTCTCCTCGCCTCACCGCTTCCCGTTAGGATGGCCAAGCATTCAGCTCCACGGGTTGGCGGTCTGGCCAAGGCCAAGGAGGTCACGTGACAGCACGCGTGTCGTGGCTCACGCTCCGCCGCGCTCCCCCCGAGGTACACATCCATTAATTGTTCACCGCTGGTGGCAACGCCGGATACCGGGAATCAAACCCGTCCTGGTTCCATTAGAAAGAAGTTAAATTAGTGTTCTTACATCTTTCGGTGAAGTCACGTAGAAGGGATATAATAACATAATAAAAATCAAACAATACAATTCTCACAACGTTTCGGCCACAACACAAGCAGCTGTCCTCAGAACAGAGCTGTCGGAAAGACAGCGTCCTAATGTTAGGACTGTTGTGGCCGAAACGTTCTGAGAATCTTATTGTTTGATTTTTATTATTTTATTATTTCCCTTCTACGTGACTTTACCGAAAGATCCAAGAATATTAATCCCTGCAGTCACGAAAGCTTTAAAACGAAATTTAAATTAGCGTATTGGCGGTCCTCCAGTCGTGGTGCGCGGGTATCATTATTTTAATTTTTTTGCAAATATTATTTATTTACCCACGATTCGCAACCCCGGTCAGAAAATCTTGCGGGATGGTGGTGGTGATGCATCAAAATCAGTCCTCATGATGTGGAAGCAATCAGAAGATGAACGTTACGAGCAGCCGAACACGAAGCTTCACAGTCTGTTGTCGTATAGCAGCACCCAGCCTGATGACGATTGGCTGCTCCGTGTTCCAAAGGCAGATTTAACTCCTCGTGACCTAGACTTGGTCGGATGGTTCTTCAGATTAATGTCAGAAATAATTTCTTGGCGGATGGTGGCATCAAAAGATGACGACTCGTGGTGTCACCACCGCACGTTCGAATGGGAAAGTGGCTGCTGAATCTAAGGAAACTTCGAATGGAGAGTCTGCAGCTCACTCAAGGGGGCAACAGGTGTGTCGTCGTGCTCCACCGTTGTACCGCCAAAACGTCCAAATACATCCCCCCGCCCTCCCTTCCCGCCTCTCTCTGCAGCGAGCGAGCCACGCGTCGGTGCGGCCAATACGTGGGAACTCTAACCCCGTGACCTTTAGCCCCGACTCACGGCAGTCGAGCGACAGGTTCACAACGACACTAATCATTATTAGTTACCCAGGAGAGCCGCACTGGGCACCACGGTGGCGACAAGTTAATGCCCTCGCTTGGTCGGTAGGTCGTGAGTACGAACCCGACCCTGACGCCTGCTGTTTATTTGGAGTTTGCGTGTCTATCTTCCCGTGGTCGAGTGGATTTTTCTCCGGGTCCTCTGGTTTTTCCCTCCACATTTAGTATTTGGCTGCTGCTATAAATGTCCACACGATGATGATAAGCAACTTCGTTGAGTGATCATTTGTGACGGCCACGTCGCTTCTGAAAAAGAGCTACATAGGTCAGTGGGGCCTTATCTGGTAAAATAAAAAAATAGTTTAATCGTTTAACGACTCTTTCTCATGGGTGTCCTGTGTTGGCGATGTTTGGCCAATGTCAGCTACGCTCAGTGTGGGTTGTAGCCGCTGAGTGTGAATTATCGCTGTGGGAGGACACTGGAGGACCTGAAGGAAACCCATGCTGGACACGGGGGGGAGAGAGAACGTGCAATCTCCACTCACTCAGCCTCAAATGAGTACCTGGTACGGGTGTGTAAACAACATACACTCGGGAAACAAAGGCAGCGGGGTGTGTTGCTGGTGGCCCACCCATTCACTCGCCGTGCCGGCCTTCATAGGTGCTACTTGCTAATAGCACTTGCCCCAACAGTCTGTGAAGGCTACATGGGGGATCTTTGTCTTTGTTGCTCCCTCTGTCTGATCCCTTTATCCCTGTCTCTCTCTCTCTCTCCAGCCACATTCCATCCTCCTCCTTCTACTCACAAGACAAAGATCCCCAGTGTAACCCATACAAGCTGTTGGGGCAAGTGCTGTTTGTGAGAAGCACCTACAAATGAATGCCAGGACGGTGCAACTCGGAGGGGGGTGATGGTATGGTCTGCCGCACCATGGCCCGGCCACCTTTGTCTCCCCCGAGCGCCAATGTTTATTACGCAGCTTGCCGAGCACATATCCAAAGGTCCAAAGGGTCAGCAACAAACAGCACCACCAAAGTTTGTAATAGATAATAATACAATTTTGCATCCCACGACGCTGCAGCACAATTCTCGGATTGAGCAAGGTTGTTGGGAAAGGGCAAAGGCAGATGGGGAAGTGCGACACACACCGCACCAGCTACTAATTAAAGCTGAGTTAACTTAGGAGAGGAGCCAGGACCGATTCAGACGTTCGCTGCTCTTATTGGTCGCGAGCGGGAATCGAACTCGGATTTGTGGTGCAGTGCGCTAAACACTGCGGCGCCGCTCCACACACACAAAAGACAAAGATCACCCGTAGAGCCTTAACAGACTGTAGGAGCAAGTGCTATTAGTGAGCACCTATGAAGGCCGGCACAACAAACGAAAGGGTGGGTGGCCAGCACCACTCCCGGCTACCTTTGTCTCCCCAGTGGTGATGTTTAAACACCGCACCAGGTATTAATTTGAGGCTGAGTCGACCTAGGAGAGGCCCAGTACCGGTTCAAATAATTGTCACCGGTGTTGGCCATGAGCGGGACTCGAACCCAGGTTGCCGGGTTTGTAGGGCAGCACGCTAACCGCTACACTACCGCACCCCGGCCGACTACACACACACAGACACACACACACAAAGATACACACACACAAAGATACACACAAAGACACACAGGCAATTAATCCTAAGTGTTTAGATGTGGACTGGGGGAGGGGAGGACGGAAACATTGAGGAGGAGGAGACTGCAGCGTGGTGAGTCTGAGTGGAGGAGGATTCATTGCCGTTCTGGAGCTGAGTAAATAAACCGGGGCCCCACGTTCACAAAGGAACGAATTTTTGTTGCTGTTGTTTTAAAAGCACAGTTGCAGAGCGCAGGGGGCCCAAAGGCCTAAAACGCTCAGCGGCCAGCGACAAAGAGCACCACCAAAGTTTGTAATCGGCGAGAGTAATGCCTGTGCTGAGCAGCGCAGAGCAGGGCGAGGGGACGAGGCAGAGAAAGAAGTGAGGTGGACTTGCGGTGTGGTGAGTGGGTGGGTGAGTAGGTGGGTGAGTGGGTGGGTGAGTGGGTGAGTGAATGGGTGCGCGAGTGGGTGAGTGGTAAAGTTAGTGGGTGATTAGGTGAGTGAGTGAGTGAGGGTGTGTGCAGGCGATGGGGGAGTGAGCCGGTTGTGATCGATGAGGTAGAGAAGCGAGTGTGATACGAGTGATTGAATTAATCCGGCAACCCCACCACCTCCTCCACCACCAGCAACACCATCATCACCACGCACACCACCTCCCCAACCTCTACCACCACCACATACGCGGTGTGCGTGCTTGACAGGGGTTTGACGAAGTGCGTTCACCACTTGTAGCAGTGGTTTGCTGTTCTAACCCAGTAGGTTACCCTGGTTAATTTGGCAGTGCGGATTAACCGTAAACACTGCACTCCGTCTGCTTCACTCACACAGCTAAGATCCTGTGACGTCAAACGTCAGAGCAGGCCACTGTGTGCTGGGGTAACGGAACCAAATTTGCTCAATTTGAAAAATTACACCGCAAAACTACTCAATTTGGATCAAATGCAACAGCACCGTCACCCTAACTACTCCAGCCTGGGTCGGTGAAACAGCGCCGTCTTCCTTCACGATAGCGCCACAACAACGATAGTGGCAATACCCCACACGGACCGAGTCATCACCGCTGCCATCGTGATCGTCGGCGAGAGGCGCTCGCCTACCCTGCTCTATGGCGAGGATGTGCGACGTGGGCAGCAGGCGGGAGAGAGGAGCACCACACCGGCACCACGTGGTCGCACCACGCCGGCACCACGTGGTCGCACCACGCCGGCACCACGTGGTCGCACCACGCCGGCACCACCGCAACAGGAGGAGGCGCGTCGCGTTTGTTTTCGGCTTGCACGCAA